GTGTTAACAACGTCTTACACTAATTAAGTGAAATCGGTTGATTTAAATGATTAAAATGACCCTCAATCAATTGATTTTGCCAAAAATAAGATTTTTACTAAAAAGTGATTTAAACCAGTGATTTTTATTTTAAAAAAATTATTTGATTTAAATCAACGTGATTTAAATCAGGCAACCCTGTGTTTATAAACCTTTTATTACTGATGACACTAACAGGCTTTCATACTGTGCAAAAACCTATAACATTTTAACACTAAACATATGAAAAAGTTGGTACCAACTACAAAACATCGTTTAAACTCTTAGAACCATTTTGACAGTGTTTTTTTTCTTGTAGGCAATTGCTCGCTTTTAGTCAAAAGTGTCCTTTTTACATTGCAAACACAGACTGTTGTGTGCAAATGAAAAAAGTACCGGTTTTTATCAATTGATAAATTATGACAGGAGCTGAAATAACGTTCTAAAAAGAAATAAACCAGCAGGTGAAATACCCCATTTATCCGCTACCTTACGTATAACACTGAGTGTTAGATGCCTCAATAAAATGTACTCGTTGTTGATTTGATGGGTGAGAGTGATGAAAAGCAAACAACTTTTGAATTTCTCAACGGCCACAATTTGCTGGATCCTTAACATCCCGTCCCTGATTGAGCTAATTCGAGATTCTGTCGATAATCGATGTATTCTACGAAAGTGTCTTTAAGCTGTTCTATGATCGTGCTTAGTGCCCACATAAACCTGCCGATCAAAGTGATGCATGCATCATCGCCAGTTGACGTGACGGCCCCTGTGCTCGTGGATCGGTTGCAACAAAGGGTCCAAGTTCTGCATCAGTCTGTTAAGCTAGGTTCACTCATTCTCGAATTATTGCCACGAATAACCCGATCTATCCCGAATAAAATTTCTTGATGGCATCGGGAGAAATTAGCCCCGATTCGCTGTTTGTAAGAATAAAATCTTACATTCCTTACAAAATCATAATTTCTCAGAAATCTGGTATGGAAATTGGTATAAAGTCACTCCATTTTATAACGGACTGACTGGATAAAACTACTGAATTTTCCACAGTGTAGTAAAAAAAAATTCCAAAAGATGCATCAACTCATAACGGAGTGGAGGGATTATTATTCCAAAGGAAAAGAGGATTTAAAACTACTTTTGTGGTATGATCATTTTTGGAAGGAAAGTCATCAAAAAAAGAGTATCCCCTCCAACCACAGAAAATGCAAGAACTTGTATATCTGTATTTATTTCAATGTACGTCTTGAATACTTTAGAGAATTTTGAGTACCTTGCCCGATGTTTCCATGTGAGGGTATTATCATATGTGAGTCCTATGAGTCATATTAAACTGACTCTGTGTGACCCTTTTAATGATGGAGTTGCACATCTGCCTATCCAGAGCTGCTCGGTAGTCAACATGCAGGGACATGTCTGTCAACTAATATCATGAGTAAAACGAAGTTTTTGTCTCTCACGTTTACGCCTGCCTTCCACATGACCCTGGACAATAATTCTTCACGATTGCCTCTTCTCTTCTTGAAACATGACCAAAATATTCGTGTTTACTTCTGTCAATCCTTTGGCACAAGGTGAGCTCATCACAGGCTTCTGACAAAATCACTGGATTTGTTATGCTCCTTCCAATATTTTTTACACATCTAACAACTTTGACAAAAAAAACCCCTTTTTTCAATAATGAGATCGGGATCTGAATTAAGGTAGTCATTGACGTAAACAAGGAGCTCAGATTTGAAGAAATTGGAGTTAACTATGACTCTTGGGCAACTTCTGGAACGACTTAAAGTCCATCCAAATTAAAGCCAAAATTTTTCCATCGGATTTGATCATTTGAATGATACTAGTGTTAATTTTTATTCTCCTAGACTAGTGATAAAAACGAATCATTGAACAATGCTAAAGATTGTGTTAACACGCATATATGCATAGATAATCCACGCATGGATGCTGAAACAAGTTGCAGAAGAAAACACAATTTATTTCATTTGGGACTCAGCCCGAACTGGATAAGAATAATACACATCATGTCGAAATTGGGACTAATTACATACTAATTGTTTGCAGTTTGGGCATTGGGTTGAATTCCAGGTTTTCTACGGAAATTTACATAATTAAGAAGGTAAATTACAGATTACACGATTTGCTTTGAATACGAAAAAAAATCAATTATGTATCAGTCGTTATTTCACAAGTTTGAGCGATTACAAAACTGTACTGCTGGGGTGATTTTGAGATTATACGTACAACAAACTTATCGGTTCATCATAATCCATTTTATGTTTTTCCCCGATTTTGGGAAAAATGTCTTGTTTTCTTGTACGCATCTGGTGTTATGCTCTTTAAATTTAGGAGTGTTTGTCAAAAAAAATCGTTATGGGGTCGAGTTTGCTTCCAAATTAAAAATTTGATCAGAACATTTTTCAATGCTACTCCAATTTAGGAGTAAAATCAGACAATCACTGCAGTATCACTGATTCTAAAACGGAATATATGTGTGTGTCACAGTTGAATGAGAGTAACACACTGAGCAGGCCTAATTAACATGAAGACAATTTGGAGCAATTGGAAGGGTAATTCGTTATAGGGCCTACATTACCTGTTGATGAAGGGAGAGAGAGAAACACCATACACAGCAAGAACGTTTTCATTTTCACAGTGGGTCGCATATTCCCAATTGTTCACTTCCCGTCCCTTGATTAGCTAGCGTACAGTAATTTGGGTCCTTCCTCTATCATTCACTGTTCAGCGATCCAATTCCCACGTTAATCCATGAGATGGTGTAATCAGCGAGTAAACCCACAAAATCAAACTTGGCCTGTGATACCGTGCAGTGTTTTTTTTTTTTTTTTTTTTTGGCTCGCCATGCCTGACTGCTTTTTGTAGCGAAAGTGCACGGTCAATGACTTGTAAATTGTAAGCCTATTTTACCTTGCGATATTGAAAGTTGATTCAAGCTCACGTTGGGTAGACTCCTTTGTTAATAATTGGGATACGACACCTTTGTGATTGCCAATCACTACAAATTCGTGTGGCTGTTGCCTGGCAACATTCTGCGTCCACACGTCTCCATGGTGAGCAATCACAAAGACTGAGTCAAATATTAAATCTGTTTGTAGGTCATGAATAGGCGTAACAGTAGTCTCCCGGAAAGGTACTGGGGTAACCTTTGATTGCAAAGACCTCTTAGTGCGGATAATGCACGCATACCGGTACGCTGCCTTCGGAAGGCCTAATAAGGTCTTCAGGGTCGAGGCCGGGCGATATCGAGTGCTCCGAGTTGGTCTTGAAAAAACAATTTTTCCTATTTTGGAATCTGTTGTTTGAAAGCGTGGCCGTGGTCACAGTGCTTACTATCGCCAGCTTCATTTGATATCTTAAAAATTGACAGAGGAGTCTCTCAATTGTTCGTTCTGATTTTAATTCATTAACATTTCGGCTACGATACAAATATTGACTGATTTGAGTGTAATGGTAAATATATCTGTCCAAGGTGATTCGCGAGGGAAATGGACCGCTCCGTGGATCACAAAGAGGCTAGTTTTACTAACTGATTGATCCAATTGAAATAGTACTACTTTTCAATATGAAATTTATTTTCCCTATTCCAAAATACCTCTAAATGAATGTATGAACCCAACTTTGTAGCGCGTGGGAGGAAAATACGCGCAACCGGTACACCGCATGCATGTGAACACTCTGGTTGCTACGTTGGTTTCTATGCCTATACAGTGAGTTCTTTTTCAGACCGAGGAGCCGTTGTACAGACAAGATCTGATCCTCAAAAATTGCTATATGTATAATTCTAAAGCTTGAGTGGTTCCTGATATAACGGATGCTTATAGGCTACCAAGGGGTCAACATTCACGGTCACGGTTCACAAAAGCCAATTATTGAATGACTTAGACACAAACAGCAAAATAAACAAGCAAAATGTAAAACAAATGTTTTTGCTAGAGTTTCTGCCGCCAATACATTGGATCTACATGGTTATTATCAAAAGCCGTATCAATCAAATCTGTATACACTCATACGTAACAGGTGGGCGTGCAGAAAGGCCCGACCTGGAGGAATTAGGCCTATAGCCTATGCGATATATAATTTTTATACACACAAATATTTGACCAACAATACAACCTTTAATTGAATTTTGTCTAATTTGGCAACAAGTCATCATCTTTTAGAATCATCACCGGCGAAGCCAGGGTTCTCACCCTTGGTGGGCGAGTGGGGTGGGGGGGGGGGGGGGGGCTGGATTTACGGTGGAGGGGCGCCCAATGTCATCCGTGCTGGATGAGTTTCGGATATATTTTGTGCATATGGTCTTTCCACGTAGTCTTCGACAAGAAGGGAATTGTCTCGCTCGCTGGTAGTCACAGACAGGTTGCTTTCCGGAGCTGATGCCGCGGTATATCGACAAGGCCAGCAACAGGATCCAACAGTGTGTTCAAAGCATCCAGAGCGCCGGCCATAGTGCCCTGATCCCGGTCCAGACAAGACTTGCTGCAAAAAATGACAACGCGCATATTTGATTGGATTTATTCTTGCAAACAACCCTTCCGTCATCGATCAAGTTTTAAATAACCACGCACTGTCTCCCTAGGAACTCCTTACCTGTATCGTCTTTTCCAGTTCATTTTCATCTGTCCCAATTCAAGTGTAATATACTGCTACCTATCTTTGTATTTGAGGTATTGTTTCTTTTTTTCAGATGTCTTTTCTTTCCCTTCTTTATGTAGCCCCACCTTGAGTGGCCCTTGTGTAAGGCGACTCATAAAAAAGTCGAAGAACGACACAATTTTAATGGTGACTCAAGTTCTACATTTATACGATAAAGTAAGAAATCCACCTATAAGCTAAAATAACTAGCATTTGACTGGATTCAGAAAAATAACCAAGGCACTTCTTCGAAGAAAATGCAATGTAGGCCTATATGACTTTAACTTCATCCGTAAAGTCCAGATCCATGCTTCTTAGCTTACCTGACACAAACACGATGATGTTGAAGTTTAGCAGAACCAAGATAGCCGCAAGAATTTCGGTTTTCAGTCTCAGGTTGTCATCGCCGCTTCCAGTTGGGGACAAGAGCAGCGATGCAACCAATAGATTTAAGATGGCCCTGTAAAAGGTTACCCGTAGCATCTTTTATCGGTCGAACATACGCATGTAGGGGTAGGAAACCAACAGATCAGTTTTTTTGAGGGGCGGCCTTTGGTGGCGCCACTTACACCCCTATCATACTACTCGAAAACAGGCCACATTCATATCACCAAGGCCAAAATCATATCACCAAGGCCAAATCGTGGGACTAAAAAAAAATACAAAAACAATTAAAAAAACCCCAACCTCTTGGGGGGGGGGGAGCTCAAGCCTCCCGAGCCGATCCCCCCCCCCCCAGGTGAGCCACTGCAACAGATATGGCGAGAGTTGCACACAACATGATAGGGTCGTCTGGGCCAAACAACAGCACAAACAGCGTTTAAACGATCTTGCGGGAGAGATCAACAATTTCCCAGTACCAAAACTCTTTCTTTTAATTTTCACAAAGAAAACTTTTCCAACTGATCTCACTCCGGTTTTGTTCACTCGGACGAGAATAAATGTCTTGTTGGTTCGGAATGGAATTACTGTCAGTTTCTGACAACACAGTTGGATTGTTGATGCTACAGTACCTCCAATTTTCGGCTGATAAATCGAGCAATGGCTGCTCGAGGCTTTCGCTCCTTTCTCCTCCGGATGACTGGCGCCCCTTGAATTTCTTCGAGTCAAGATTCTTTTCTTCTTTTCTTGTTTGTTGCTCCTCCACAAGAGCAGAAACAGCAGGGATGGAAAGCCGACTACCTGAGAGGGACTCCTCGGCTGCTTGGTTGAAATGAACATGTGTCCTCTCATTACAGTCGATGGAGTAATCGGATCGACACATGTAGACGTTTAATGTGCCGTTCTCATCCAGGGAGAACTTGTCACAGCCAGAGGGCAAAAGTGTAAATATCACACTGGTTAAGCCAGGATAGGAAACGAAAAGCAACGTAACAACCAACAGGGTAACACGATCGATTCTGTTCTTCAACAGTGTAATTCTTGAAAATCAAGTTGCACTTTGAGATGCAATAGAACAACAATGCTCCAAACACAACGAATGCAACAAAGCTCAGCCAAAACAAAAACTCTTTGTATACATTAGATAGGTGAAGTCTGGAAAGTAGCAACGGAGGCTGATTGCGAGTTGTACAGTGTTCGTTTCCAGCAGTTTTAAAATGCAAGGGAGGATGGGGGGGGGGGGGCAACGGGGCCCCCCCCCCAAAAAAAAGAAACTTTTTTTTTTAAGTGGCCTTGCAATAAAGGCAGGCAATGCGTACACCGCCATCTTTTCCTCCACAAAATTTGGTTCAAGTGGTCAGAAATAGCCTCTTTTTTTCGGGGTCATTAAGCGGGCCCCGAACCCCACGCCGTATTTTGTTGGACCCACTTTTGGGGGACCAAGCGAATTATTTTGGCCACTAAAAAACAAATGTGTTCTTGATCCGCCCTTGCAAAAATGACCCAAACTTTGTCAAAATATTTGGCCAAGGAATCTCATCAAGTGCAGAGAATACGTTGCCCATGAACTGATAGAAACCCATCAAGATTTTACCCCGAGTAAAGATTCCATCGACGACTGACCGTCCATTCTTCCGGCTTCACCGCAAATCCCAGGCGAGGACGAGCAGCAACCAGCACGACCAATGTCAGAATAACTTCTAGTAAAAACTTCCACCATTTTTGACACTCAGGGCAATTGTCCGACCATGCATAGTACACCTGTGACCTTGCTGCATCGAGAACAAAACCAGCCCTCATAACCAACGTCACAAGTTACATTGATGCCAGTAATCCCGCCTAATGCTGCGTGCTTTCATCATACTGGCATTTGAGTTTTATAGTTGGGTCCAAAACATACGTTCCGTAACCATTCTGTGGCTTGGATGGTTTGACGATTGATTTGATTTCTATGGACCATTTATAAAGAAATTTGGCCCCCAGGTCCTTCCCAAGAATCCCGGCATTTTTGGATAGAGGGCCAAATCCAAGATGGCCGCTGGCGCCATCTTGAAAATTAACTTTTGAACCAGAGCACATAGAATCATGTATGAAGACCCATTTTCAGGTATGTCGACCATGAGGATCCCCAAATCCGACATCAGTTTGACGCTTTGACATCATTTTGACCCAAGATGGCCACTATTCAAAAGAGCAAAAACATAACTTTTGAATGGGCGCACCTAGGATCATGAATGAACACATAATTTTGGCAAATCATTGCGCTGATGCAATTTAAGATGGTTCTGGACCCATCCAGCCAGGCGCGGTTCTGGAACCAATATTTTTTTTTTTGGGGGGGGGTAGCACGGTGGATCCAGAATTTTTTCAGGGAGGCGTGCTGAAATGTTGACCGGTTATTTTTTTTCTTAGGCCTCCGAAAATCAATAGGTGGGGGGGGGGGGGGGGGGGGAGGGGGGAGGGGGCTCATGCCATATTTTCAATGGGGAGCGCCAATAAAATCCTAAAATCGTTTACACTATATTAACTAATGCACCCTTGTCACGGCTATTTCTTCTTTAGGGGGAGACTGTTGGCATGTACATCACAATCCTTTTTGCTAATGCAATTTTTTTTTTTTACGGAATTTATTTTTTTTGGGGGGGGGGGCTAGACAAAATTTTTTGGGGGCTACAGCCCCCCCCCCTAGAACCGCGCCTGCATCCAGCATAAGGAATGAGGTCCTAATGGGATCGAGGGACATATCGGCTGGATTTTGTATAAACTTGTTTAGCACAATGACGGTCTGATTTGTTTTAACAAAGCACAACTTTCTTTTTAGGTTGTGTCCCCAGTGACTACGGCAATCATCATAATCGTCATCAGTATCATCGCTACAATATGTTGGCACCAAATTATTTTCTTTTTATATATTTTATATCACAAACTCTTCTGATACTTCTTGCTGTTAATGTTTCCTAGAATTGGTACCCGCACTGTAATGACGCTGTGGTTTCGGTGGTTTGTAAATGTGAATTGGGAACATGCATGTACCTTATGACAATGTCCATCGTTCCATGTGTCCTCCAGTGTGGTAGGCTTTGCGACAAGGCCACCGATTCCATGACCTCAAATGAGAGGTTGGAAAATCCCAAGAAAGAGGCCCTGTAATTGAGCAGTCTGGACAAGTTTGGAGATGTCCACGCAACCAACAATTAGAATGAAAGCCCTGTCCGACAATATGTGCCCATGATGCATGTAGGTTGACCTTATGAAATACCAAGAAACTTGAACAGGCCCAAAAAGACGAGAAAAACAAGGGGTTGATGATGAAGGCCAATCTCAGTCTTCGTCTATGTCTGTTGTATATTCTGTTCCCCAGCTGCAACTCCAGTTGCCAAGTGGCTATAATCGAGTCTAGGAGCGATACATCATAAAACAACTTTCACTCAGGAGGTAACACACTACAGTATACAGTGTTTCTTCGTCGGTGAAGGGCAAAACCTAATTGATTTACATCACCCCAACGCAAAAATTCAATCTCATGAATAGTTAATGCGGTACCCGCTGCCATGTACACCAGATTCGAACCAGCCCAATTCGAGTCCAACCGTTAGCTCGGTGGTCGAGTGGTAAGACGTCTGCACTAGAAAGCAGGAGGTCGTGGGTTCGAGTCCCACCGAGTGATTTTTTCCCCCAACTTTCACTCGGGAGGTAACACACCGAGTATACAGTGTTTCTACGTCGGTGAAGAGCAAAACCTAATTTGATTTACATCACCCCGACGCCAAAATTCCATCTTATGAATAGTTAATGCGGTACCCGCTGCTATGTACATCAGTTTCGAACCACCCGACCGATCCCGTTAGCTCAGTGGTCGAGTGGTAAGACATCTGCACTAGAAAGCAGGAGGTCGTGGGTTCGAGTCTCACCTGAGTGATTTTTTCCAACTTTCATTCGGGAGGTAACACACTAGGTAAACAGTGTTTCTACGTCGGTGAAGGGCAAAATCTAATTTGATATAAAACAAAATGTTAATGGTGCTGTAAGACGGATTCATCAAAACACCCTGAATCAAAGCCAATCCTGATTTCGCATGGCCAGCCTTCAAGAGACAGTAGAGTGACCATGTAAGATCAGATCCTGCGAGACAGAATCAACTGTCTGATCGATCCTGCAGCTGATCAGCCCTACGCGCTTAAGATCAGTTATCACCTCAGATGTCGTTTGACATAATGTGTAGCTATCAGAAAATAAGTGAAGATGACAAACTCCCACGCATGCTCAATGTAACTCTATAAGGTTCAGACCATCTTCTTTGGGTATATTAGAACAGTTTATCTTTGAGGAATATGAGCTATTAGGTCCCTGCATATCCTCCTCTGAGACTATATACAGCTCTATCCTTTCTCTGTTGCCTTCCCAACAACCGGGGTCAAGTCATCCTATATAAAAGATATCCTGACCTGGGAGTTTAAGGGCAAGATTGGCTTCCATTCTAACCCTTGGAGGAACCAGAGTGATCTAATCTATGACACGTCGGAGGGGGGGGGGGGTTCTTGCCGAAGCAGCACGTCCTCTATATGGGTGTCAGCATAGCAGTGAGCAACTGGTGCGCAATGTGGCTGAGTGGCTCAGAGATGTCATCAATTCAATCAAACTCGGAAGAGGAGGAGCTCTCGCTTCTCTTGGTGCAGCAGATATCTGCTTTGCGCGGGAAGAGAGGGTAGATCTATCCCCAAGCACACCCAGTCGTTTTTTGCTATGCTTCCGAGGATTGGCTTTGTGTTTTCCTTTGTCCCTGTAATATAACACTCTCCCATAGACTAAGCACACAAACCTGCGTTCGAGGACAATAGGCACCTTCCTTCGAGGATCAATGGCCCCTTTGTGCTCCTTTTGTTGTCTGTCCTCAGGCGTAATGCCATGCAGGAACACTCTCTCTCACCTCTCTCATTACACAGTACGTCATAAAGCCGACCACCACTTCCGCCAGCAATGCCACCTTCATCCTTCTCGGGATGACTTACAGCAAGGAACTTATTGACTCTTAGTACAAGCTGGGCTTGGGGATCAGCTACCCAAGCGTACTTCTCTTGCGTGACGTCAGGACTATGCATGACCTGGAGCTGGCTCGGCCTGTCCTGATGAAGTTGCTGATGGAGAACCAAGCTTCAGCGTCATTGACACTGATGACTTTCTCAACGACAACTTGACAGAAGGGGGCAACGCACAGCTGTAACTGGATGTTTCTGGCTGTTTCTGCTGTTTGCACAGAAGAAAACGACAAACATCCAGAATGACCTTACACGCATCAACGACGCAAAGACTGTCTCACGGATACTGACTGATAAGGCGGCTGAGATGAAAGCAGTTACGTCGTAAAGGATCATACATCGCTGTGAGCCGCCCATCCATCCACGCGGTTGGCGGCGATGGTGTAAGACAGCATACCTTCGACGTGATTCGCAACTGACTTGTTGGGCAGTCAGTGTAACTATATGTAAATAAGCCTCGCGCTTCACTTGCATATTCAAGCCAGTATGACACCGCTTTATGAAGGAATAGTTTGATCGGCTGCATTATGGCGGTTGCCATACACTGATGACTGGTTCTCCATCAGCAACCTCCTTAGGACAGTCCGAACACCGCTCCAGGTCATGCGTGGTCTTAACGTCACGCAGGAGATGCGCGCTTGGGTAGTTGATCCCCATGCCCAGCTTGTGGTAATATAAAGAGTCAATAAGCTCCTTGCCGTTAGTCATCCCAAGAAGAGTGAAGGTGGCATTTCTGCCGTGGATGTGGTCGGTCGCTTTATGACGTACTGTGTGATGAGAGAGGTGAAAGAGAGTGTGCTTGAGGACAGATCTATACCCTCTTCCAACGCAAAGCAGAATGCAAGCAGAGCTCCTCCTCCCCCTCTAGCTCCTTGACCCTCAGTGACCACGGGTCGAGTTTGCTTAAGTTGATGTCATCCCTAAGCCAATCAGCCACATTGGCACCAGTTGCACATTTATCCCAAAGAGCAGTTTTGTGGACGTACATCTCAAAACCTGTTCAGACCACTCCATTACAGGGGATTTTCCCACATCTCAATTGAGGTAATGGGTTCAGTGGCCTTGTCGCAAAGCCTACCACACTGGAAGACACACGGAACGGTGGACATCGTCGTAATAAGCTATCGAAACGGGAACTAATTGGGCTCTTGTCCTCCAAATCCGGCCAAACGCAAGAAAAGGGGACAAACACACAGGATTTCCAACTTCTGAAGAAACTCTTATTTATTCATCACAACAACTCTGTGGTCAACCTGCCACAGCAGCCACACTGCTACCAGTACCACGACTGCTGATTCCCAGCATAGAAATACACTAGGTCTGAACAAATGTATAAATTGTTAACATCTTGCCAAACCTTTCCCGCGTCCCCCAACAAAAGAAACCCACTTAAGCAACCTATTTATAGAGCGTAAATCCGGAGTGTGCTCTAGCCAGACCCAAAAGCAGGTCGGGTTCCGCCGGAGTCTTAGCGCAAGAAAGCAATGACGACAAAAGTGCTGCATAGACTGTCCGTTACACTGCCCCCTCCCCTCCGAAGAATTTGGCTTTTCTCTTGAATGGGGGCACAAACAACAAATTTTACATGAAATGATATTCACAATTTTCCCCCCAAAAATTCCCCCATTTATGTAGAGAACAAAACACTCTACTTTATTTTAACAGGGTTTACATGATTAACACACTTTTAGAGAAAAAACAACTTTTTTTCAAAGTGATGTTTACAAGATTCAAAAAGTTATCAAAAAGAAGTTACTTTTCTGTAACAAGAATCACAAGAGTTCACTGTTTATGATTTACTTATTTCTTTTCCGGGATATCCTCAGGAATGATGGTTAATGATGATTTAGGCCCCACTCTGGTTGCTAAATCAAACAAAAACGCAACAATCGGCGAGGACTATCCGCAACTCGTCGGTTCCAGATGCTGGGCCCTCATGTGCCGGTCAAGCAGTCCGACCGTCCGTAGAGCTTCGGGCATTCCCGGCACTGGTAACTCCGTTCTTCATGCGCCGCTTTTTCATGCCTGCTCCGAGTAAACGAGGAGACATACTGCTGACCGCAGACTCTGCATGTGTTCGTCGCCTTGCCCTCCACCGGCTGACTGTCTTTCCTCCCGCCAACGGTCACTTGTCGCAAACATCATGGCGTCTTCTGGCGGCCCTGCCACGGCGGTTGCGGGTGCCTTGTGTCGCGTGGTGTCCAACGACGGCAGTGGAGCTGCCAACTTCGGCGGCGGGACTACCCGTTCCAACCCGACTGTCTGTCCTTGACTGGCGTACTGGACCCCAGCGCTGGTTCTGCAGTAACCGCCGGTTGAGTTACCCTCGGCAATGGGGAATCTACCGAACCCAGTGGTTTGGTTGTAGGCACCGACAGTGGGGATTCCCGTACCGTTGGTTCGGCAGTCTGTTGTAGCGGAACTCTGTGCTTACCGACAACAAAGCACTCTTCGTCCCACATCAGCTGGCATTTATGGTGTCGCAAAAAGTCCAGTCCCAGAATGGCACCTACGCTTATTTCTGCGACCCAAATGCTGTGTAGCATCTCGCTTTCCCCAGTCTTAATCGGCATCTTAGCACGTCCAGCAATGCGCAGCTCACTCCCGCCCACTTGGCGGAACCTGCAATCCGCGAGCACGGGTCTTAACTTCGTGTCTGTCCTGTCATACAGCCGAGTGGAAACAAAAGTCTCTGTGCCTCCAGTATCAATCAAGAAACTAACTGCCGTGTCCATTATTTCCCCTCGGATGTAAAGTCTCAACTCTTGAGAAGAAGCGGGTCGTTTCCTCAAGCCAGACTTCGGTGGGACTGCCTGCTCCTGCAGCGAGGCTGCCTGCGCTGGCAGCGGGACTGCCTGCGCCGGCGGCGAGTCTCGGCGTCTCTGGCACAACATGCCGAGGCTGATGTCCGGTCGTTGACCTGGTCGTATTTCTGCGTAAACTGTCAAGCAGGGATCGCTGCAGGGCCGATCGATTTCCCTGGAAATTTTGCCGATGGCTTCAGTGATACTCCGTGCCGACTCCGTGTAGCTTGCCATTTATCTTCCCCGAAAATCCTGTAGAAAATCCCACCCTGCCACCAATTGTAACGGGAACTTATTGGGCTCTTGTCCTCCAAATCCGGCCAAACGCAAGAAAAGGGGTTGTACACACAGGATTTCCAACTTCTGAAGAAACTCTCATTTATTCAGCACAACAACTTTGTGGTCAACCTGCCACACTGCTACCAGTACCACGACTGCTAATTCACAGCATGTATTATCTAGATGGAAAACTTATTGGAAAATACTTCGCTACCTAAGATGCAGAATTTACATGGACTTGCATTTCTAGAACTTGTTTACTCCATGCTAGCGCACGTGAACACGTTGTCCTCGTCAGATAGCAGGTGATAATGATAGAATCACAAGATGGTCGATACGCGATTATGACTTATGTCGATTTTTGTTCCCGATCCAGCTTTAACCTCATGTATTCCAAAATAAAAGAAAAAGGCCTATGCGTGACCCGCTTGAGCTTATAATATTGACGCAAATTTGCATTGAAAAGCAGGAAATATAATTGGATCGAAAAACTTCGGCAAACACATATCATTCTTATTTCATTTAAAAACCGTATAAAACACGGAAATGCGAACGCAGAAAACTTATTAATTGGTATTGTAAAGATACCCACAATGCCCCATTGGCTGCAATAATTGAAATGCAGAGTGTTGTAGTCGAGTACTTTTTTTCCGAGTACTGCTGAGTACTTCGGTTGCTGAGTACTTCGGTTGCCGAGTACTTCGGTTGCCGAGTACGAATACGAGTACCTCCGAGTACAAGAACAGGTCTCCGAGAACGAGTACTTGTACTTCCGAGTACGAGTACGAGTACTTGTACTTCTGAGTACGAGTACAAGTACTCGCATTTCCGAAAACGGCAATGGTTCATTGTGCGTAATTGGCCAAGGCCTAGTCAGACCATTATACAGACCCACTCACGGGTTGCTGTTAAGAATGTGTTTGCCCGGACGTGCAGATGAGGAAAATCAGGAATTTTCGATTTCTCCACAAGCCAATCAACCATTTCAATCTGAAAATATCGATAAAATCGATAAAATAAGGCCATAAAGTAAAGCTGTATACCATTTTCCCCTGAGTACTGCCATTCGAGTACGAGTACTTTAATGATCGAGGACAATTTCGACATGTCGAGTACTTTGCTGCCCGAGTATGAGTACGAGTACTCCAAAAAAAGTACTCGAGTAGTACTCGAGTACGAGTACGAGTACTGCAACACTGGAAATGCAAACCAAGAACTTCTTAAACTTCTGTAATTGAACGAATCGTGAATGACTCTAGAACACGAGGCACGGACTACAAGTGTCATCAAAAGCACCGTATATTTTATTGATAGTGTAGTGACATTCAAGGTTCCAAAGTGCACACCGAGTTAGCAAACCATGCACATGTAGTTTCCAATATAACTCTAAGAATGCCAACATCAAAAAAATCTTGCCGCTATATTTAGGCATTTTGGCAAGAAAAAATAACCCTGTACCTCACTACTTTACTATCTATGCGTATATAGTTGGCTTTCAAAATATTTGTAGAGATATGAAAAACACTATGGTTAAAGCATTAGGTCCGTATACATTTAATCCAATAGTTTTAAAACGTATGTAAATATGACTTACATAACCAGCCATTATCAAGAAGGCCTTCCTCATGGAAAGTGAAAACGTGAGTGATCAAAACTTACACTATGGTTTTAGGAGAGCAAAGGAATATGAAGTTCTTAATTTCTTTGGCCATTATGCAATCACAACTGAAAAGCTAAAAGACAATAAGCGTATAAGTACAACTAAAAAATACATATGCACATGCAACTTTCCCGAGGCGAGCTAGAGGTCATTATAACATTGATGAGATTTCTCAAACAAACATAAACAAATTTCCGAAATATGAGCACGTCAACATGTCTTTCATTTCATCAAATCAAACTTGTTCCTCACAAAGAAATACTTGCAAAGTTTAAACAGGTTTCACGGTAATTTATGGGGCCTTAAGCCTATGCACGTTAGATCAAATAGGCCCATTCCTTATGTACATGTAGTTAACAACATTACGTCAAGGAAGGATGTGGTATCATTATCATATTGACATCAATGAATGAATTGCAATACCTTGTTTTAAAGCTGAAACTTTTGTTATATATTACAGAGCAGGTATTTAAAAAAAAAAGTACTTCAACTGGCAAAATGTCTTTACACATACAACTTTAAAATACAATCACGTTATTATTAATTCATGTCTTGATTCAATATTCAAGGCGTGAATAACCATGTCAAAACCTAGGACATTCCATTCAACTCAAACAGTTTTCCAGCTGAAGCGTTTGCTTTTGAAACAAACAGTACATGGGCTTGTCTGAAATTTTCAATGCTCACGTCTTTTAAAAGATAACTGACAGAACGACCCAATCTTGCTGCCTTTCCCGCATCCGAAACATCCCAACAAAATAAAAAAGTATATAAAGTCCATCAAGATGTACAATGGTTATTATATGGTATGATATGAGATATACTGTAGGTAGATTGACAGAAGCTATTACATGATTATTAAGGCAAACAAAGCAAAGTCAGGTAATACAATTGTCAACAGTCAGCAACCGTTTTGCCTAAGTTGAGCATCCCCTCTCTTGGAAGTCATCTTTGAATGCTTTGAGATTGTCGAAAATCCTCTTCCATTTCTTGACAGATCTGACTTTGGAAGCAGAGGGCCACTCGTAGAAGGACATCCTGTCATCAACTACGTACTTGTAGCTGCAATAATAAAATAAGATGTCCTTAACGTTTTGTTTCAAATATTCTTCTAAGGACCTTATGGAAATTTTATAATTTGATCTGTTCTAAAGTGCTGGAACCACTGCAAATTATCAAGGAAAATGTATTTCGAACAAGACTGATCCATTAAAGCCTTTTCTATTTTTAAGTCCATTTGGTGAGTGACAGCAAGTCATTTGGCAAACTTTATAGCACATGGCTACAAAAAGCTATAATTTATGTTCAAAATTTCTAGCGAGAACAGCTAATCTAGACAATGAAGGCCTGAAGTGACATTAACCCATGAGCTGTCATAAAAAATAATATCAACATAGTTCAGAATTTGACAAACAAAATAAAAGTAAGATTTGAAACTTTGTATGGTGGTGGCATGAACTAGTGAAGGTTTGTGGTAACACCATGTAGAGATCTCTTTTGGGGAGATGTGTGGTTCTGAAAAGAACCGGTTGGTTGTTAATTAAGTTTTCAGAACCACACATCTTCCTAAAAGAGATTGCTACAAATCCTTTTTTAGGGAAGATGAGTGGTTCTGAAAAGAACTGGTTGGTTGTAAAGTTTTACTACCAACCGGTTCTTCTTAGAACCACAAAAGAGATTTCTACATGGTGTTACCGCAAACCTTCACTAAAACAAAACAAGTCCAAACACGTTCAAAATCTTCAAAAGTTTATTTTTTTTGCTAATATTATCCAGCTTCATTAAAAAACATACACACATCCACGGGGTAACTATGATTGATATTGTTTAAGTCAATGGGAGGATGAAATCAATGAATGTTTCCTTTACATGTGTGTTATGGCTACTGACAATGAAACTTCTCAATTTCAGGTTCAAAGCTCGGGGGGGGGGGGGGGGGAGGCCAAACAAAAATTTGACATAGGTGAACTTTTTAGCTAATCCTATTAACCATAAAATATAACATTATTTTTTTCAATTTCTTGGCCCGACTCATAGTTCACATCCATGCCTTGTATGCACATTTAGATTTATTAACATATGTGGCACAGATTATACATTACAAGAAACCTTCACTTTTTTTACTTGAAAGAACCATTTTTATGAACAAAAGGCCTACTGCTCACAGTAGGTAGCTACAGGCCTGACAATATAATCTTATAATACACCAACTCACCTTGGGAGTCCATTGTCATCCGTGATTGGTAGCCCACCAGAACCAATCACAAGGTAGCGTTTCTTCTTGATGTCAGGTTTGCCGCAGTTCATGCTTTTCCAGAAGGTTCGAGTATCACCATCGCTGACACGATCAAGTCCTATCAGCCAGGAAATGTAAACACACAGACAAGTAGGTAAATAAGAAGCAACTACATGTATCGTATTTGGCTGGTGGGTTTTGAAGTGTATGCATGCAATTAAGGAGTCTGTAGTGTAGGGGAAGTCCTTGGTATGTTTTTTGCAGAATTATTCCCTTTGTTTGCATATTCATACGTGTTTCTGTTTTGCTCTTATTTTAGACAAGAGCAATATACCAGATCATGGTGCACTATTTTTCACTGTATCATAAACTATACAAACAAAAGCCGAAGCCAGTTTGCAGAATTACATGGATTTGCGGTAAATACATACACGGACAACATGGTTCACAGTTTTTTATAGGGAAACATGAACATCCCAATGCATGGTGTATAGTTTAGGTGAACAACTTGACAAAAATTAAATGAGTTGCATTTCCAGACACAGTAGACTGCATACAGCACCTTCAACACAAGAAGATCAGTAGGTTGTTGCATAAAAATACATTGGCTATAACTCAAGTCTACTCTGTTACCTTGTTTGATTGGCTTAAGGATGGCCATTGTGATGGACTGGAAACCAGCTTTCCGCTTGAAACCGGTCACTTGGACTTCATAGGCTGCAAAATATGCAACAACAAATTCAAAGTGAAATATATCTCCAGATTGGGTAGTTCATTAGGTGGCATATCAACCCCATCCACATAATATGCTCATGTTCCAATACAGAGAGTGCTTTCTGGCTAGTTTATGTACACATATCTGACTGGTCATACCATCGACTTATGTGAACTCCTACTAGAATGTCCAAGATCAAGTTACCAACAATTAAGGTTTACAGTTTTCACTTTATTCTGGTCATTAATTTAGAATATTTCAAAACACTGTAAATTATAATGCTTTTTTTCATGGAACTTGTTTATTGTTCTCTGCCCTTGACTAAATAAGCCTTGGAAAGAAAAATGCTATCACACAAACAGTAGCTCCTATAAAATGTGCCTGGAAGTCTCATATTCCAATTCATTGGATCATCCCCATCTGCAAAATCTTTTTAGGTGTTGAATGGTTAATGTCTTTACGAACTGCAAATAATTTTTTTCTTCTTAAGTAAGGTGTCTAGGGTATGACTCTTTAGAAATGAATAATAATTATAATAATAATAATAATAATAACGGAGTCTTATATAGCGCACGTATCTACCAACAATTAGGTACTCAAGGCGCTGGAAATTATGTCAATTATTAAAGAAAGGTAAATAAAGTTTATGAGAAATATGAGACCCATTATGTAGCACCTTATAATGGTTACAAGGTGCTGCGGCGCACATTACAGCCACTGCCAGAAACACCGGGGCAAACCCCTTCTCTTAGCGATAAGTGTTACTGGGTTCTTTAATGTGCATTACACAACACACGGGACCTACGGCTTTACGTCCCATCCGAAGGACGAAGCAATAATGGTAAAGTGCCTTGCTCAAGAGCACTCGCACGGTCAGGATTCGAACCCATGCACCACGGTACACGAGTCGAACACCATAACCATTGGACCACAGCGCCCCACTATATCAGGAACACGTTTATTTAATTTTATAAATGGCTGTAGATGCAAGTAACTCACGTACCAAAATGTGCAGAAGAGGCACATGCCTTTTCCTTCATCCTGCTCACATCAAAGTCAACTTGTTTGGTAGATGGGTGGTCTGCACATCTGCCTGTTTAGAGAGATCATCATGAACACAAATCACTCAGTGTCTATAATTGGCTGTTTCAATTGTGTTGATACTTGGTATGCACATAGACAGGGACATGGTATAGAAAAAAATTGATGTGACATTGTGATGATGTCATTGGGTGTCTTGTTACATTACATTAATGGTGCATTACATGAAGCTTTATATATATTTAAGCACAGGCCAAATGGGTTGAAACTTTGTATGAACCTAGACAGGGATGTGTTTATATAAATGAAAATTGATGTTATATCATGATGATATCATCAGGTGTCAAGCAACATTACATTAAAGGTGCATTTAGGAAGCCCTATATCAACTGTTCTACACGTTCAATTGGGTTGATATTTAGTCTGCACATAGACAGGGACATGTTATAGATAAAAATTGATGTGACATCATGATGATGTCAGCAGGTGTCATGTTGCATGTTTATCATTTTAAATGTGCATTTTATGAAGCCCTATATCTAATTAACAGGAAGGCCAATTGTGCTGACACTTTCTATGCACATAGACGGGGATGTGTTATAGACATCGAAAAAAAAGGGGAAAGTCCAGACTCATTGGAGGCATCACTATATTTTTGAACCTGATCGTCTTATGATAACGCCATTTATATAGGCCTAGACCTTTTGGGAATGTTGTTAGCTACATTTTGCAACCAAAGACTAAATTATAAGATGGAAATTTTTTTCACGTTGGTGAAGGGCAAAACCTAATTTGAACAAAGACTACATGTATAAATCATCAAACACTGACAACGGTTTATGAAAAATGATGCAGTTTGAAAGTTTGCAAATTTAAAGAGTACGCAAGTGGAAATTGCTGCGTGACAATATTAGACTGCCCAAAATGAACGGCAGGGAATATCGATCACACAGTGCTTGTACGCATGGGGCACCCAAAAATGAATAATCTGTGTTTTGTTCCAGCACTGTGCAGTCAATAGGGGCCAACTACGGACGCGTGCGTTTTTAGCAATTTCTCCTCGCGTAATCTTTAAAATGAAATCTTTTCAAACAGCATAATTTTTCACAAACCATTGTCAATCTTGGACTATTTACAGTCTTTGGTAGCAATGGGGTATCAAAATGTAGCAAACAAAATTCCAAAAAGGTCTATATAAATGACTTCATCATAAGACGATCAGATTCAAAATTACAACCCCTCCAATGAGTGTGGACTTTTGTTGTTGTGGTGTTTAGATGGAAATTGACATTGCGTATCATGGTGACGTCATTGGGCGTACTGTTACATCATTTTAAAGGTGAATTATATGAAGCCTTATATCGATTTAACCACAAGGCCAATTCTACTGAATTTTGCCCACGAATATCCATGACAAAATACCCAATTAAATCTCAATGCTAAAAAAACACACCATAGGCCTAGGCCCCCTAAATAATTTGTAAAGAGTGTCCTTTTTTTATAAGAAGTGCCCTTATTTTCTGAACAAGTGCCCGTTTTAAAAAAGAAGTGGTGCCCTTTTTTGTGTTCCGGTCGTGTTGGGTGCCTTTTTTTTTAATTCACGCATGTATCGCCCTGAAAAGCACCATATATTGTCCATTCGTGTGCATAATCATCGGATTTCAACCGCGCCCCCACAGATAGTTGGTACCAGGCTGGTACCAACTATCTGTGGGGGCGTGGTTAAAAAAACAAAAAAACAAAAAAAAACACAATTCAGGAAAGTTTATTTGAAGACTCGTACAGAATTCCAGAGATTATAGAAATCCTGTTTCAGTTTTAGTTTTGTATTTCAATTAAAGTAGACAATGTTTTCAATGTATGTAAGTACACCGTACGGGGATCTCCAGTTTACAATCACTGCTTTCTGGAGACCTCCTCCACTTATTGTTCAATGATAGTTTCATAATTACATGTACAGTAATTTCCTATGAAGTGAATTAGTGGAAATAAAAGAACCATGGGCAAAGATGTAGGACGAGAAAAAATCTTGTGAACCATATAGATTTGTTAACTGTATTTTGTCAAATGTTACAGATGTCAATCTAGTTACCTGCAGCACATGTGCATGTGTCTCCTTCGCAGATTGTACTCAACATATCAGAGCCCAACTGAGGATGGATAAACTTCACGCATTCCACAGCTGTGCAAGAGAAAAGGTTAAGATTACTGAATTGATTAGAAATCATCACCTTATGTCAGTTTGAGCTGCTTAAAAGAGCTACTTCCTTTTAAATCACAATCCAAATATACGAAGGGATAATTCTTGTTTCATCGACATCACTAATAAACTAAAACAAAGGAAGAGTTGCAATGATTGGAGTTGGTAACACCACTTGAGTCCGACTGGAGCCACAATTTTTGGTAACTCAACTTACTTGACTTGCACAGGCAATTGACTCAACTCGACTTGAGTCACTGCAAGCATGACTTAATATGACACAAGTATTTTAGACAAAGACTCAACTCGACTCATTAGCACTTTAGATGATAGAAAAAAAAAATTATCTTGAATTGTACATAATGGCAAATATCGTCACCATCACCATGAAGTGACACTAACATTGAAAAATAAATTTTTGAGATTTCGATATTTTTTCCTAATTTTTGTTATTAATTACACATAATCTATCACTATAAGAAGTTACTATACACAGAGTTAATTAGTTTTGCCAAAATATTAATTAACATTAATTAACGTTTGCAACTTAATGGGTCAAAACCGAAAAATGCGTTTTCTGGAAGGGTACTATACCATTCTTCCGCATGTAAACTGCCTTCACACCATACGTCAAAAACCAGTTTTGCATTTTCACAAAGTAACACAAATGTCACGTGATATGCGCGACTCGCTTCTGGCATTTTCACGAAGTAGTGTTAAGCCCATAGCTAATACACATGGTTAGCGTCACTTCGTGAAAACTCAAACACAGTGAACTTATGGTTAATTAGTTTGATAACTTGTTAACAGTTATTTTGTTCAATAAAAATCATACATTAATGTGTCATTCAAGATCCCAGCTTTCAAACAGTGCGAAAAAATATGAATTTTGAGGCTAAAACGATATTCAGATAACCATTCCGAAACATTGTCAACTTAAATCGCTTGCTGTATGTCGAAACACAAATTTTTCACTTTGGGGAGGTTAAGGTCAATTCGTGATGACGGTGATGATATGAGCATGCCAGATTCCTCAAACTACAATTATTACTAAGGAAAAAGTCTCAGTTTGTAATATCAGATATTAGAAATAATTAGCACAAGTATTCTTCCCTTCCACTCAACTTGACTCACGCACTCTTTGTTACATAATATATGGCTCAACTCATGTGATTTTGATGGTGATCAAGTCATCAATGCCTATGACTCGTCTTGAAATCTAAATTTCAGGGATAACTGACAACACTGTTAATGCAATGAACGCCAAGGAAAAATTGGACTTACTAGGGTTATAGTAGTCATACACACGGACAGCCACTGGCTGGGCCTTTCCAACACTAAACACACGCTGAGCGTTGAAGTTGATAACAGTGTACTCCTCGGTGATCTGTAATAAAATAAGCTAATCTTATTTGAAGGAACCTTCCTAAATCTAATGAAATCCAAGACTATGAAGTGCCTAACCCAACCCTGTCGATTGTGACACAGTACAATAGGTGCAAAAGTCTGTATATGGAACCTGCAACAATCAAGAGTCAATTTTGATGAGACCCAATGTATAAGAGCTAGCTGCCCAATGCTTTTACCATGACTGCTGTATCCCGTTACAGCTGGAAAATCTGAGGCAGTTTGGGCTCAGTTTTTGATCTTGCTACATTAACAGGCAGTTGTCTCTTTGAAAGTATTCATTGCATATTGCTGCACTATGCATTGTTTACCCATGAAGGTAAGGACTATTTTGCCCAAGTTTTTGCTCCTACACAAAACCTGGACATGGCCCTTGTAGAGCAAATATAGACCAGTTGTACAGTTCTGAATTCAAAAGACAGCTTCAAAACACAAGGGTGAATTTGAATGGAATCAGGTAATTATAGTCAATTTAAAAGGAAACTTGAGAAATGTTTATAGCTGTTTGAATGTCATGTTTTCGTTCCATGTTCCCCTAGTAGTGTAGTGCTTAATATAGCATTCCTTTTGCATAATCATTCTTCTGCATAATGATGCTGCAGTTGTAAACGTCAAAAACTCACAACTGGGTCGCTTTTATCCAGGAGCCATAAAACAACTACAAATTCAGTACAGTTTGCAACCAAGTTATGATTGTCTGTGTCTCACATGCATACTCTCCATATTGGTTTCAGCTAGTGCTGCTAATTAGTTGTGCCAAGTGTAATTATTGACCTGAGAATCCTTTTCGTGATGATTAGGGGTTGCATCCTCTGTTGCACACAGTGTTGAAGGAATCAATATCTTCGGCTGACTGGCAAAAGATTACACTATAAGAGCAGTGGTTAAATCTGTAGGTGAGTCTTCAAAGTGGAGCACTTAACGTTTACCTTTGTGAGATAAAACACGACTGACCGATCCGTCACTTCATAGCGCTGGATAACCCCTCCACTTTGTTCCTTGACCTGCAAATGAAAGAATATGTTTTTAAACTTCGTTAAAAAAAATTGTGAGGAAAAAAGTCCTTTTAAAGATGTTTCTTTATAAAATGCTAGACAATTAAAAAAAGTTATCAAACCTAAAAAAGTAAGTTGGGCTGATAACAAAAGATGATTCTCTGATGTCTAAAATACCTACAATATTAATTTCAGACAAGCTCTATCACACCATATTAAAGGCAAAATTTTAAATACCATGTGCGCTTTGCCTCCTACTGAAGAAAATTTCCCCAAATGCACAGAATCAACTTCTCTAAATGTTCAAAATCTAAGAATAACATGCACTGTAACATCAACTTTTTAATTCTTTGTTTAAAAGAATTGAAAACATTGCTCTTACTTATGTAGTTATGCATTGTCCTTTTAGCCAAATGAGCCACTTACATCGTCTAGTTCTCTTTTCTTGGGTTTAAAGCCGGTGTACAATCCCACATCTACAATGGCCATCCCTGTTTCTTCTCCTCGCAAGTACCTGATAGATAGCGTAGTGCAGTTACAATTATTGATCAATACATGGGAATCAACACTTCAGTGAACATTGACTAAGTTAGATGTTTAAGAACAAAGATTTTTTCTTAATGATTGGTACAATTTCAAATTCATCAGATAGTTGTGTGCTGTTTGTATCATCTCACAATCATAACAAAGTCAGCCTGGTACACAAATTATACTATATAATGAATCCATGACAGGCATGCAAAATAAATATTTCTTTTTGTATGATATTCAGGAACAAATCTTCAATTAAAGAGAATTATATTAAATTACAACAAGGGATGATGGGGAAACAAGGTATAGTATTACAGTAGGGCACAATTCTATGGCTCGATTAACCATATAATTCCACGCTTACACAAGCATTCCGTGCTTAGAGCGATAGCAAAGAATCCTTAATTACAAGATGTACACGTGTGCACAAGCAAATAATTCCTTGCTAACATGTGTAATATGCTCATCATAAGTACAGAATTTTCTGCTACAGTTTCTCAGGGAGTTCTTATCTACTAATGAGTGACATTGCCCAGTAAAGTGGAACACCGCTATACCAAACATCGTCCTTGGCTCCCAGCTTTTGTGTACAAAACATATCCAACACTGTTCTTAAAAGAAAAAACTCTTTAAGAGTAAACAAAAATCGACCTGTTATATTACACACTGTTTGGGCAATTTTCAATTATTTCATTCCCAAACGTCAAAAGGCCCATGCTTAAATCAGACTTGAACTGAATGTCCGATAAAATATTGTAAGAATATTCAAATCAAAAGATATGAAAAGAGGGCGCTTTGTAGTGAACAGACGCTATATTAAATAGTGGCGGCTCGCTATAATGCAATTTTTTTGGGGGCAGATCCCACGATGTTCATTATAGCGGCGTTCCACTGTATTTTCCATTCATTGGTTGATGCAAAAATACCTGACTTTGATGTCATAATTGAAGTGGTACTCATTGCCTGAACCCCCTGCACGCCCCCTCACTGGTGACTCATTGGCATCACCAATGCTCCCATCGCTATCTTCAAGGCCACTTCCTCTTTCCATGGCATTGCGCTGTATCCTCCCCACCCTGGACCTGCTGTCTCCATCTCCTGGGATGTTACCCCCATCTCCGTTGGAGCCACCATCTCCTGACTTGCCCTCTTTACCGTTTATGGTAAGGTCAAAGTCACATTTCCTATAGTCTGGTTCTGGGATGTGGTAGTTGGATTCAAACTGTGGAAGAATCAACCATGAATTACAGGCAAAACCCAATCATAAAACTTTCGTGGGTGGATCCAGGGCGAACTGCAAATCACCCATTTAACGCTGAATTTTATATACACTACCTGCACCACACTCGCTGTTGGTAATGTGCACAGGTCCTCACTTTCTTAAACCAGTGCCCAATTTCATGAGTAAGTCACATACCCTGATGTTGTTGGGCAAAGAGTTAGACAAGACACTGACATTCTAATTTGATTATTAAAGGAAGTGAAAAAGATTGATATACTACTTACTTTCACTTGACCCATGCCAACTCCCTGTGAGTCGAAGGACACAATGAACTGCGATGTCGACTCTGGAATCTGAAAGTAAAAATAAATGTCATAGATGTCGCTATGTTTCTATGGCACAATGCACAATAGCATCATAAATAAAGTAATTACACTCTGCCAAAAACATAGAGGAAGTGTCTTCTTCCTTTCAAAAATATCAACCAAAGACCTTCTCCTGACATGAAAACAATTTTTTTTTATACAATAACTGATTGTTCACAATCTCGATAAATATTTCAGATAAAACTATGATTTTTTTTAACACATGCTGATTCGTGATCATTGACAACCGTTCTTCAGTGAACGTAATAATTGTAATTGTTATACCGTGTGCTTGGATGCTGTAATTCATTGATCTAGAACAGCCTGTCTGTAAAACTAATAGTTTACTTCACATACATGCTGCATTACATATAAATTACCTCATATACACTGCCTTGCATACAAATTACATCTGTATTGCACGCGTGCGTATGACCAGCCCGTGCACCTCCTGACTATAGAGCTGCAACCCCTCAGTCTTACACCCGGCAGGAAAACTTGCAGTTATCAAAGGTTACATTGCAGCGATTTCATGTATTTCTTGCATAGTAAGTAGGTTTTGAGATGACGTATGAAAAGCCGTAAGTCCTGAATTGCCTGAGGGTTGGTAATGCTATTGCAGTTGACAAAGTATGAGCTACATATATCAGCTATACAAATATCAAGTTGCTGAAGTACTGAAAGAAAGATAGGACTGGGGCTGGACATCATTCTGAACATGGAGGCACTGCTCAAGGCAGATGAGACTGGATACCATCTCATACAAGGTGAAGCTGTATTAATGCTGGTATATTAAGAACCCCGTTCAAAAGAACTATTTATTACTTGCCACAGGCAATGAGCTACAGACACTCAAAATGTCTTTCATGAATTTCAGAAAACCTTCATTCTTTTTTAACCATACAAGCAGAGTATTTTCTGTTGTGTGGATGTAAACTGGAAATGACAGAACAATGTTGTCCAGCAAAACAAATCAGGTACAGCATTTAAACAAACTGTACCAACATCTGTTCAGTGAAATACTGACACTTTTTTAACAGAAATTGTTCTAATTTCTTACATTTGGTATCTCTTTGAACACTTACAAACTACAGAGAACTCCATTCAATTTATTTGTGTAACGGTTCAGCAAAAACAAATTACAGGCGCTGTCATTATTAATTATATATCTATACGTACATGTTTCAACAAAACAGACATCAACTTACAGAGATTGGGGAGTGTTGCCGGACGATGGCATTGTGAGGTTTCAGCAAATATCGCTCTTCAAAGGAACTCTCTGCGCAGGTCACATGACAGTTGATATCAACAGTAGTTTGGTCTGTTTGTATGGCATATTCAGACAAGGCCTGAAGAGCTACAACTGTGTCCTGAAAAAAGGAGGAAGAAGAATCAGTTTTTAAAGCTCCAATGCTTTACATGCTACTCTTACTGCTGAAGAAAAAGGAACAAAACTAAGGCCTCACTTACCAAATGTTGCCATTGTCATCATGCTGGACTTTTTTTCCATGAAATTTTAATGAACTTCATTTTGTAAAGTATTGTGCATTCACTTAATTGCTTCTTGAATCAGGTACAACATTTAAGTTCTACCACGTGTAGCAGAACTTCGTTAGGTGATAGGCTTTTCAATACACTGCCCCTTCTCTTGGAACAAGTTAGGATCCAGGAATGTTCGCCGTCAGATTTTTTTTAATCAGTAAATCAGTGCTGAAAGGTAGACAGGTTTTTTTCTCCGGACATTTGGCCTTCGTAAAATCAACAAGTGGAGGAGGGGGGGGGGGGGACCATCTTCCAATGGGGACGCTGTTCAAATCCAACGATCATGCACACTATCGCACAGAGTGCAAATACCCCAATTCCATTCAAACAACCAGTTAAAGTCACAAGTCAAAGTTTATTTGATACTTGAATAGTAGGCCTGAATGATAGTGGATTTTTCTACTCAAGTTCTAGCAAAGCAATAACTTGCAAGTAGTCAAGTACTCACGAGTAGTTAACTGATTCCCATAAAAGCAGGAAACTGACATAGTATGAGGGGAAGCACCTACAAGCAAATAGCATGCAAGTCACATCACATTCTTCAGCACTGAGATATCCTTACTATGCCAAGTTTTGGTTATTTACTTGAATTTCTTTCTGGGATGAATGAAATCCTATGGAGAGACAGGTGGAGGGAGTGACTCCCTGTTTGCAGGGGAGGCATTAAGCCGTGAACCCTCAACCCTAAATTGCTACTCGTGAGTACCTGCTTCTACTCGTGCCAGGACGAGTTCTCAAGTAGATGAAAAACCACGAGCAGAACAACGAGTAGCATAAACTACTCGCGAGTACTGAAGTAATCAAGTGACTCGCCCAGCGGTATTGAATAGCATTCCTTGATCCTGTACGAGATGACTAGTGATTGACTTATGATGACTTGTAGGGACTTATGGCTACAACTCTGGGAAGCGGTAGTTAAAGTCATGTGGCAGCCCATTTAATTTCTTATGCAATGCGTGTGTAGCTGCCAAGGTTTAAAATATCCCGGCCAAATTAAAAAAAACATCCAGATACAAATTTTACAATGACAAATAAGAGCTTTACACACAATGAGCAAGTAATGGAAAAATCCAGGCAACAAAACCTGAGTAAACACATTTGTACGTGTATGTCTGGAATAGTTAACTCCGTTCAAATGAGCAAATTAGTGTTCCTTGAACAGTGCCTGGTAGCTTTGCATACAGCAAAGTGAATATTATATCAGTTCCAAAAGGCACACACTGGAGAAAGCAAGCTGATACAGCAGCTCAAACATCCTTGCTCATAGCTTGAGGTCAGTCCAAGTCTCTTAATGAGTTGTTGCAATTGTCATGAAAAGTTTAATTTCAATCCCGCCTCACAAACGAACAAGTATTTTACACCAAACTCCCAGCAGGCTTACAATTGAGAACACTGGTAACAGGCTTACCTGTGTGGACACGAAGCCACCTTCATAGTTCTCCTGGTTGGTCAGCCAGTTCACGATGGCATGAGTATACTGGATTTGGCCTACCTTCAGTAATGCCAGCACTGCGTAGCTAGTGGTTTCTACCTCAATGGCTTTAGGCCGGTTGCTGTACCAGTAGGGCTTTGTGCCAGCACCGAAGGACGAATCATCTGATCCCCAGTGGCGGGAATTTGTTGCTGTGCATAGCAGAGGCAATTCAGGAGATTACATTTGTCTAAAGATCTATGCTAACGGGCACTGATACATTTTTGTCAATCTGATCTATACATGCAATATAAATAAATATATAGATAACAACCCCGCATCATTTCACACTTGTTTCTTGCAAACTGAGCTTATTTCGCTCGGTTACTACTGTTTTGAACCCTGACAAGAATTTCAACCCGGGTTGAAAATCTCAATCCTGGTCTGGAGCAGGGTTGAGTTCAACCCGGGGTGGAATCAATCTTAGGGTTTACACAGGGTTGACGCAGGGTTGAAAATGTTCTAGTGTGAAACGCTGCATGTTTTCAACCCTGCGTCAGCCCCACGTCCACTTCATGGTGCTGCCAAGCACAGAATTTTTTACTAAGAGTGTTTGTCTACTTCCTGGAGATGCTAAGCGATAAGAAAACAAAAGGCATGCTAATCTCAGAGGAAAAGCTTGCTTAAAGAAGTGCCTTAACAATAGAAATCTTCACACATGTGCATCAGTTAGCACTTCCATGCTGTGAAATAGTTCTACAAACAGGAACAATTGCTGCTATACTTAGCATAAGGGTAATTCTTTCAATTTGGAGTCCAAATAGAACAGTGTGACATTTTAGTGTCCTTTTTCACCTGACCTGTGTGATTTATAGTAAATATCCCCAAATTTAATCAAAACAAATACCATTAAAATTGACTTAAAGCTACTTTTTAATTGTTTGGCATGAATTGTGCTTTACATGATCACACTTGGAGATTGAAGGCATCAACGAATGTATCCTGAATTTACAAAATCTTATTTCAGATGCAAAAGGCACACGAAAATGTCACACTTTTGGACCCCAAATTTATAGAATTACCCATAACTTTTTCAGCCAACTGTTAAGCAGTGCCAAGAAATAGGCTCCAGGCCTCTGCCTGGACCATTCTGATAAACACTGACATTTCTTGTTCACTGACCTCTATCAAATATAGCGATGTCTCTCAGCTGCTCTATGGCATCTTCTGCACTGATGCTCTTGGCAAGGGCCAGGGCGTATGAGGTGATAGCGATGGCATAGGGACGGGTCAAAGCTGGCAACTCACGCTCCAGGAATGAGGTGGCAGCAGCAACGGATGCATTTTTGCTCTAGAAAACAAACAAAATAGAAACAATCAAAACAAAATGAAGGGGAAAACCCAAGCCAAACTAGAAATTGCATCAATCTTTATGTTTGATATGTCCATGTAAGATGCAATAGACTGATCCATTAAGCTCCGCCTATGGTGGGCAGTGGCAACAACATGTGAATCTCTCTAATGCCACACTACATGTTCAGGACATGTGTTGTCATGTGCTACTGCATGTGCCATTATGCACGTATGTCAGAAATGAATCATGGCTGTGATTGGTCCAGCCATTATTGGGTGGGGCTTAGTCTGTTCAATGCCAGCATAGTTCAACATTTACCATTAAGGATCGTTTTGAGGGCTTGAAAAATGTTCAGGACTTGATATTTTTTTTAAATTAAAATAAATATATAAATAAATCAACACCATTATTTGAAACCTGTAGTGGCAATTCGTGAGACTTTCCTTGAAAATGTTAAAAACAAATGGGATTTTTTTTTGTCAATCTCAGTGACAGCAGAAAAAAAATTGCAGGGGTAGAAATCATACACTCTAGAGAAATAACCTATACTTACTATAGTCTTGCAATTACATTCCTCAAGAGCAATGAGGACATATGCAGTCAGAGAGGCCTTGCCTTGGACTCCACCCTGTTATCAATCAAGACAAGACTAAATCAGTTCGTGATCCATGCTTTATAGGATCCATTCTCAGACATTTTGTCCCTGTTGACTTGCCCTCTTAATCATTCCATTGTTATCAAGTAACAGTACACAGTGATTGGATTAGCTAGGTGTTAATTTGCCTTTTGTTAACATTTACACTGAAGATGAGGGGCAAAGTGGACAAATACAACTTGATGATCTGTTTATTCAGTTTCATGAATAGGTTAACCACAGACTAACCACAAAGCACCAGTGACCAGCTCCTTGGTCTACCTTATTCCTGTTGTATTCAAATGTGGTCCTACCACTGCCAGGAATGATCCAGATCAATTATAATGTACACCTATAAGCGCATAAAAGGTCACAGACAGTCAAAATTTCCTTCCTCTCCCCTTGGCATACTCTTAACAAACCAATGGGTCACTTGACCAATACTGACCCAAGTAATAACAAGGCTCAGAATACACGTTTCCATAGGAGGGTTAATACAATTTAAACTTGAATGGACCAGATAGGGAGAAAGCAGGGCAACATTTGTAGGAGTAGAGCCAACTGCCAACCTTTGACAGAGATGCTTACCGTCATTTCTTGGTGATGAACTCTGTAGAGTTCCTTGAAGGAACCATCATCTTCCTGAGTTTGTGTGATCAACCACTCCATGGCCTGACAGGTAATGACATCATCAACAAAGGCAAACTCCTTGGCTTGACACATGACTTTGCTGACAAATGCCGTCAACCTGAAACAAAGCAACACATCACTTATTGGATTATTTGTTTCTTGCTTTAACGGACATTTTATTTTATATCTTTCTGGTAATGAAACCAAGGATTCCTCAAAAGTGCCCTAGGCACTGTAGCCCGAAAGCCTGAGGAAACCCGTAGGGAGTAGACAATGAGAAGATATTACAGTTTTAGAGGTGGGAGGAAAAGCCCAGAAGAATATTTTGGGGAAAACCCACGGAATCAGGTAGGGACTGAAAACCCAATCCACACATAGACCCAGCCGGAAGGCGAGGAAATTACCGCTACGCCAACCTGACTCCCCAAACTACATGCACATACATAAATGGGCTGATTTCTACATGGTGCGAATGCAAATGTTGAGGCAAATCTGTGATCTCCCAGCAAGTACATGTACATACATGCTGCAAAATATGCAAGAGTCTACAAATATTGAGTGGATCAGCGTGGAATGGGAGGAATATTATCGCAAGGTAAAATCTTGACTTTTTCCTTTCACGAGGCGAAGCCGAGTGAACTGGAAAAGTCCAGATTTTACCAAGAAATAATATTCCTCCCATTTCACAATTTGAAGCCACTCAATATTTGTTTTATATAACTGACATATAGATCCTTGTCATTTGATATATTTGAACTTTTATTCCAATACAAAATTGGTGAAAAATGTATTTCTCTCTTCCAAACCACCCCTTCACGAAAATGTTTGAACCCAACGCTGTAGCGCTGGCTCTTTGTAACAATACGCGCTACGCGCAACGCTGAATGCGCACACCAGCATGCATTTGCACACAAATACCGCGTCATGGAATAAGCATGATCCTATCTGTTCAATAGTATTTCCCATTCCCCATGGGCGGATAGTACTTTTTGAGCCCCGGCGTAAATGGCAGTAACAACGAATGACACGTGATGTGAGTTCCACCAATCAAATGACAAGGATCTGTATGTCGGTTATATAATTGAAAACATCTCAACTCTGGCAAATATCACTGACTCAATGCTTCGTGATGGCATTCAGCAGCCATCATCATGCCAGCCCACAGACCCTCAAGTCAGCTGCATTAGCTCTGTGCTACTCCGCTGCTGAGTATGCCTGCCCTGTATGGGAAAGATCTGCCCATGCACAGAAGATTGATCCAGCACTCAATGCCACCTGTTGTCTTATCACAGGATGTCTCAGACTAACACCAACTGACAGCCTATACATCCTAGCTGGTATAGCCCCACCAGATAGAAGACGTGGTGCAGCAAGTCAGAAGGAATGCCAGCGCCAGATTACAGATGAACGGCATCCTCTATTCGATCATGTGCCTGCAGAGAGTCAGCTTAAGCTCAGAGCTGGCTTTTTTCATAGTGTAACACCTCTTGCAGAAGCAAATACAAGTTGCGCCAGAGTCACCTTGTGGAAGGAACCACCACAGTGGCTTTCAATGCAACAGAGGAACTCCCACCTGGAGCTGACTCAAGCTGGACCGAATGGAAATGTATCAACAGACTGAGGACTGGTACAGGATGCTGTAAGGTGACCCTTCACAAGTGGGGATATCTGGACAGCGAAGATGTGACATGTGAATGTGGTACTGAACCACAAACTATGCAACATTTGCTAAGCTGCCCTCAACTGGAGCAACCATGCACAGCTGAAGATTTCGCAATAAACAATGAAAGTGCTAAGCAATGCGTTCAGCTTTGGCTGAACCGTGTCTAGCCTGTGTGTAGAAACGATAAGAAATGTTCATTCAGTAGCAATGAATGCACATAAGAATCTACTTGTGCTTATCCGTTTAGAACCAAATCATTCCTCTCACAGATGGCTGCAATGCAAGGATCCACTGCTCATCATCCAGGATTAATTAGGTATCTGTAAGATCTAGAGATGTTTACATTTATTGTGTGTGAATATGCCGTCTGTGCCTAAATTGGAAGGAAGAAGCTTTGCACAACCGGGCAGCTGAGATGGTCTTCCGTGTAGTTATCAGTGGAATGGACAAGAGAAGAACTGACGTAGTGAATCATTTTCATTATCATTTTTCCAATTCTTGTTAATACTGACCATGTGCTGCTAGGGTACGAAGGATTGTCTCCCCAGACTGAGAAAGATCCATCAGATCGACGATGAGTCAGTTCATTGGCAATGCCTGAACAATGATGAAAGTAGAAAACAACAAATATCAAGGTTAAAAAGACAAGTCAAAAGACTGGTCATTTGATGTCAACATACATGTATAATAAGTTGTTTCCACACATCAGAGTACTGATGAGACTGATATTGGTTGAGAAAAGACACAGTTTTATTCTTGATACAACGACTCAATGAAATGTCATGATTCTGTTCAATACAAATGTTTGTTTATACTACATAAAACCTCATTCATTAAAGAAGCATGCTAACTTCAGGGGCAGAGTGTGATGCAACAAAAGGGATCTCTTATCAAAACACGCACAACTTGGTTAAAACTGCAGTTGAACCAAAAGCCCGAGTACTTTATTTGGAGATAATACGTATATCAAAACTTGACAAGAAAAACAAAAACAAGAGTAGTGATGATGACTTACCATCTCCGATGTACTGGCGGGAAGAGGTCTCATGTGAAGCTGTGAACTGATCGGTATACTTCAAGTATCGGTAGATGTATACGTTAGGGGCGAGATAGAGCATGGTTTGCTCTCCACAGCCCCGGGGAATCCTCAACAGGTCATCTAGGCTTCCTAAGACTGTCTCAATGACACTGCCCATCACATTGCCTGGATAAAGACAGTCGGATATTCTCACTATTAGACTACTTTCTCAGGAGTTATCTCATTATTCAAAAAAATTATACAACTGGTATATGTTTTGGATGAGTTTATCTGCAATAAGTTCATTGTATCATGTAATAGTAGAGGATTCTAAACAACATGCTTAGCAGGAATCATCTCATAAAGAGATTATCATAATTGTAAACTATGCGGGTTGATGTAGATCAATATTTGATTTTTCCCTTCACTAAGCACTGTATACTCGGAGGGTAATACACACACTCCGGAATTTGTATCCTTGTGGAGTCATTTCTTTGTTCTTGTGTTCTAAATTTTAGAGTTTGAAAGTGTAGTTCGTCGTGTGCCCGGCAAAAGGGCATACGTGCATATGCCCTTATGCAATAGCGCGTAATGACCAAAATGTTCCCAGCAAAAGGGCATATGCAGAAAACTGCATCCATTTTAATGAAATTTAAACATTTGATTCAAAATGCGCGCAGGGGAACAATGGAACCTTTCAATGCAATTTTCTTGAAAATGATGTTTGCGTCGGAACGCTCATATGCCCTTCTGCCGGGCACCCGACGAGTTTCAAAATGCTCCTATTTTAACCTGAATAAATTTCCTGGGCTGAAATTCAGACTTAATATCCCTTACATAAAATACTTCAATTTGCAACAGATCACACCTTAGAAATTCCTAGTTTTTGAGTAAAATGGCCATTTATCTATTTCATGATAACCTTGTGGAGACATATTCACCTATAGAAATTGCCCTGTGGAGATGTATACAATCTTTTGTTCCCTATTATGCACATGTCTCCACAGGGTACCATGTACCAGATCAGTGAGTATACAGTGTTTATGTCCGGTGAAGGGCAAAACCTAATATTGATTTGTAAACAATGCTGATAACTTCAATGCAGATAGATTCTGGGGAAGTTCAGAATCTTGCAAGTAAATACCCAATACAACAGGCCCATGGCGCTTAATCTTGTCCGTGCTTATTCTCGATATTAACCCTCCCTCTATTTAAGAGGTCACCAATGGTCAAAATGTTTGTATCTCACCTCCTTGCATTTGTGTACAAACCAATGGGGGTCTTGACCAATATTGACCCAAGTAATAACCAGGCTGACAAGGAGATTTATCTTTGCCTATGTTACGGTTGTTGTTGTTTTTTTTTTCAGGTACATATATTTCAATGCTGTCCTAGGAAAAGGAAATGTATATTGTTTACAATAAATTGAAATACAGTATTACAGGTTCATTAATTAAGTATCAGATTATTACACAGAGGACAACATTCAGGTTTGGGTGAAGCAAACATACTTGCGTGTCCTAATCTAGGGACAAAGAATGACACGGACAGGACAAAAGACTACAACAGCATTTGAGTGTGCCTGCAGGTGCTAAGACATAATAATAGGAAATCAATTAAAAATTGAAAGTTATGAATATGCAAGAAGCTGTTTTCTTTTTTACATTTTTTTGGACAAATATAGCCTGTGATGGTGACTTATTCATAGATTCACTAAGACTGTTCCAGTATTTTCACCATGTTGAATAAGACATACTTTTTTCTGGAAGCACTTTGCAGCAAATTATTGAATGCCTGTATAGTATTTCAAATGCATAATGCGGAGGTGGAAGATTTATTAGCATAGACCATAGAGCTATATTAAATTACTAGAGCGCTAGCTCGTCATTCTGTGCGCGGAGACGCTTTGAAGCCGTCCTGGGCGCAAACATTTTGAATTCATGTGCGTGTTTGTAGAACACAATCAAAATAGATGGATTGAGTTTTAAATGTGCACCCCAAATGCAACGCGCAAGTAAAACATACGCAAACAACTCAAGCGCGTCATTGACGGTTAAAAAAAACGTGATGGCAAAAAGCATCTGCAGCTAATACGCGCATGCGTTGCACTGTTTGAGTAGAGCAAAATGAAACGCTCATTTGCTGATCGTGCGTTTCGGTTTTGGGCATATTGGCTTCGATAACGCACCGGTATGGAATGCAAACGCAGATATGCAAATAGCCGTACAAAAGCCGTACAAAATGTCTAGGTCTCCATAGGTTTGTGCACAAACATGGATGCACCCAGGAGGCATTACTTTGTACACAAAGTTAGCGCTCTAGTAATTTAATATAGCTATATGGCATAGACAAATCCTTATCATCAGTGTATAAGGTTGAGCCTTGTGTGTGTTTAATCCAGACAGCTCAAATGTATGATGATATTACCAAAGGTTCTCACATTGTGTCTACCTACCGCATAGACTGATTGACCTATTTGAGCAGAACCTATTTGAGCATAAAATCTTAATGTTTAGTTTTGCCCTCATCAGAGGTCATATGGGAAATTCATACTAGATGTTAGAGTAGCATTTGCATGGGTGCTCCATACTCAACAGTGTTGTAGTTCAGTTTGTCACAAGTCCTCACATGTCCGTCAGTCTCAAGTCAAGTCACAAGCTTTTTGAATGAGCTTAATTTTAATTATTCGATGATAACAAAGGGCACATACCCATGAGGCTGAAATGGACTTGGTGAGTGCCGGGAATGGCCTCATTGTTGAGCTCATAGCGGATGATATCCACTTGTTTGCTTTCACTCTCAGCATCCCAGAACTCTGCAAGTTCAAAGCAATATGGCAAATTCTCGATATTAGTGAATTTTTATATGTGTATTCAACAACAAAAATGCCAAGAACAGCAACATTGATCTGAAGACCACACTGAAAAAGACTGTGTGTGCAAAATAAACTGTTATTACCAACATAAAAGCATATGGCAAGGAATGCGGCACAAGAACTGAAGGGGACAAATAGGTGTCTTAATACTTGATGAGTGTGATAACATGTTCTACGTCCAACACACAAACTACAATCCAATACACATTCAATAAGTTTCCAAAAAGGTATCTCTTTATGATGGTGTACCTGTTGAAAGTGTTTTGTAAACGTCAGTGAAGGGCAAAACCTAATTTGATTTATATCACCCCGGCGCAAAATACTCCATCTTATAATTGTTTTGTAAACCCTAACCCTGCTGAATCCAACAGGAGCCAACTATATCATGTACCCGATGGAGCCTGTTGGATTGAGCAGTAAAACCCCTTGTGTACATTCCTGATGCAAAATGTTGGATTCAGCAGGCAACTGAACCACATTAAAATGCCGAGTTAGACTCCGTTGGATGCAGCAGACAACTGAAAATAAGGCACAGTGGATTGAGCAGGAAACGGTTGGACTCTGTTGGATTTAGCAGGGTAGTCCTGAGGAACTACTAGGGGGTTAGGGTTAATTAAAGTATATAGTAACTGCATATTAAATACCTAGTCCTAGGTATTTATGAAGCTTGGCCCAAGCCATCTTGCACTAAGCCCAGTTTGCACTTCACCCAAACACCGAGTGAATTTGACGTCACTGAACATTTGCAGCAAATTTGCTCAGAGTTGACATGTGTTTAGATTTGCAAATATGCAGCAAGAAAAACCAAACATGCATAAAGCTGTGTTTGCATTAGAATTTGTGCCGAGTATAAACAAACAACATAGATACATCACCAAATGCACATTTCACTTACGGGTGTGTTGGTAGGACTGATTCCTTCCCCCGGCCATGGTATTGCGGGGAGATCCACGAGTATTTTCTGGATCCACTGTTATTGTTACGGTGTCTCTCTGTTTGTAGCCTTCTGGCTGTAAAGTCAGTAAATACAGCATCAAGATGGAGTAATAACAATCATAATAAATTTATTTGAACAAGAGTTGGTGATACGCACTCACAGTTTAAGCAAAGTTCCACCCACACTATCTTAAGCTCTATTTATTTTCCTGAACAAGGAGTCTGAACACAGAGTCTGAACTCTTTGATTTGTTCTGAGGTTACCATTATCTAGACGTGTACCTCAATTTTAATATTGGGGGGATTTTGTGCTCTGTTGACAGCCAAGGAATGCTGGAAAGAGGGAAAAATCAACCATATCCTAAGATTTCAGTTGTGCATATATATAGGGTTTCACATGAGCTTGTTTCTGCATTCAACAAAAGAAGTTGAACATAGAGGACAATAGGGTCCCCAATTCCCGAAGGTCCCCAATTTACAAGGAGTACAAAACATATGGGAGGTCTTCCTAAAAAGTTTTAGTACAAACAAAAGAAAGACAATAGGGGGTCCCCGATTGCAGGCAAATACACACTTGTATGCGTTTGTTTATGGTGTAAACCAAGGACATACTGATGCAACATCATTGGTGAATGGAGGACAGGAACCAAATCGAGGACGACCTCGATTAGAAAATGTGTACAAAACCAATGAGAGCTGTTGCGAAAAAGTTACAAAGGAAAAGGGAAGCGGAACAAAAGAAAATCCTTGATTTACAAAATAAACAAATGCGTGTGGGCTTGCTGGGGTACAGTGGATAAAAGGGCTTATTTTTTTGGCTAAGTTCTGATTAATTACTTAACCTACCCGGACATTCAGGAGCTTCCGTACAGCATCCTGGAAATTGATGGTGCTGGAGTTTGTGACGGCAACAACTTCGATGGGCAGTGTTCTGGCTTCTAGAGGCACTACGACAAATTTGACAGAGGTAGGCGTCTTTGGGAGAGCCTCAATGGTTACACGGGCCGAGTAGCTACCAGGCTGGGCCTCAGAGCATAGACCCTCAACACCTTTCAGATAAACATACACCTGAGGAAAGGGAATGTTCAAGTCAGGTTGTCAAAATCCATGCTATTATGTTTCTTTGTGGCTTGGTTTCAGCGAGAAAACTTTCTCTAAACCAGGTTTTAATCTTCTTTGTAAATGGGACTTGTATCACGACAAAAGAAGACATCAAAGAACTATTTTTGTCTGTAACAAATGCAAAAACACTCATGGATGCACAGACACTCGTTCAAAAATATATAGCCTCTTTATATAGTCTCTTTTTATTGAGTTCCAGATTTAAATGTTTAAGCCCTACTGGATATTTTTCACTCAATCTGAAAACAAACCTAAACCCAAATTTTGAGACAAACGTTGCTTGTGGAGTACAGTAATGATAAGCATGACAAGTACAAATACATTTTAGCATGAGTGTAAGCAAAGGCCTCGAGAGCAATTAGTGGGAGCTAGGGTACTGCTCCAGTGGCGTGCCACATGTCATCAGGCTGTCGAGGCTTTCGAGACTGCACGTAAATGAGTTCAGGAGGTGCACAGGCTACGAAGGCAAGAGCAGTAGCAGAGTGCCCCTCCAGGTGACGGTATTCCTTGCCAGGTCTGTGGGAGGCGTTTTGCCTCTGAATTTGGCCTACAAATCCATATGAGATCACATGTACCCTCATGTAGACAGTAACCGTTTGTTCTTTTGGAGATTTGTAAGGACGTCATCGTCGATTCGACAGACTACCACTACTACCGCTCGACCCCACGGGGATGAGGTTGATGGACCCTGACTTTTCAATGTTAGATTGCCACTATCAGTTCCATTCCATGGATTGAGCCATGTGAGCTAGGAATGTTGCAACAACTTTCTACCACTGAACTATTCGGATCAAAGGTACATAGTGCCACTTACCGGTAAGGCAACATCAGCATAGTTGAACACAGACACTAGGATTTCTATCTGCTCCAGTCGTTGGACCGAGTACGGCATGCTGACATCCAGAAAGAATGGGGGGCGGACTTCAAGCTTGATTGGATCAGCCACGCATATCTTATAGTCTTCAGAAACTCCCACGGCCTCTACCACCCAAGTAGTCACAGAGTCTGGCAGAGTCGCCCGGTGGCGTATGACAATTTCTTCCCTGCGAGATAAAGGAATCATTGTGAAAGGAAGGGCAGGACACTACCAGACCATATTCAGTGGAAGTGTGCCATTTAACCACAGACAAACTACTCTGGGCAGTAACCTGGCCAGAAAATGTCCACCCTTGACCGCTGGATGTTTGGCAAACTGAAATGCTGAAATGCAGACAGCTTTTTATCTCTGGACACTTCTTGGCTGCCATAAAATCAATAGGTTGGGGGGCGGTGGATACTATACTTTCAATGGTTAACATTATTTGTAATGTATTTCTATGAAAAAAACCAAAAACAATTGAGAGGGGGGGGGGGGGTGGGGGTGTTTCGATCCCTATAAATGCAGCGGTGTATGGGTTGTGTATGTATGGACAGTATACAGTGGTAAGAATGGTTTGTTTGTCGTCGATGGTGTGTGCGTTCCCAAGTCTCTCCCTCTGACCAAAACTGAGACCTAAGCACAGAATGGTGGTCATCAGTGCATGGTTAGAATAGCCATGACTATTGGCCTTTGTTGGGTCATTTTCTCCAAAATTTTAAGTATTAATCATGTTTCAGTTCAGTTCAACTGATATTATACAAATATTGACTGCTACGATTGGTGTAGTAATAAAACAAGCCTCCTTAGGTAGTCAATGGAGTAATCTTTCTCAGGTAAATCCGAGGAATAAAAAACAATAAAGCTCAGTTGCTCACCGAAGGAGACTAGTTTTACGGCACAAGTAAAAAAATGTCAGCGTTTGTTTTTATAATGCCTCACCAAGAGATTCAGCTTACGTTTTAGAGATGTTTTTTCTGATGAAAATTTATCCAAAATCCAATAAAATGTACTTTCGTGTTCAACAGAAATTAGTTGGTAATTTGTTTGCTGATTTCCAAACCACCCCCAATGTTTTACACATCTCTGTAACATGTGAGAATACACAACATGCTCCTATTGGTATGTGAATATGTACACAGGCCTACAGTTGCTATGTTAGTTGCTATGCATATGGTACTTTTTCATATATAATTCCTGAACACGGAGTACAAAGTGAAACAAAAACCGTTGGAGGTTTGTCAATTTTTCAGCAAGTTATGGTTTTAACCAGGGTATGCATGGGTATAAACGTGATGTTTAAAACTGGTTAGGGGCCTAGTCGCTGAAAAAAACTCTCGCTTTTGGCGTGGGCCCTACCAGCAGCTAGGCCCCTAACTGTTGTTAAATCACACAGGCATGCAACTGGGAATTTATAAAAAAAAACGAGGAAACTCCAAACCACACAAGACTTTGAACAGCATTTTTCAATTTGTAATGGCATTCATGAGAAGTAAAATACGAGGAAATCAGCGGATCCGAGGAAAAGTTGCATGCCAGATCTCACATTCATAACTGCGCTATCATGCTATTTTCTCCTTAACCCTAACTGAACTCAACCCATCAAAGCCATCGTTGAAATCTGTTGGGATGGGTACAGTACCCCTAAACTGATGGTCTTTTACATTGGGTTTGGCATACCTCCAGAAACTAAGTCCAACAGTGTGTGTGTACGATTTCCCATGTGGGTGTTGGAATTTGCCAGAATGGGTACAGTTCGTAGTAAATTATGCTAGGGAATTAAAGTTAATATGACTGGGGTCGCAGATTTCATAAAACTCACTCAGTATCCACTTCGTCAAACAGCCAGCTCTCTGGGAAATTTGACCGCACTAGAACACTCTCCAGATTGACTGGGTCACTGCCACCCACAACACCAGTCCTACCACCCCTGTCAGCTTCTGTCATTGCCTTGCAGCACTCAAAAAAGGCGTCCATTTCAGGCGATTCCAAATCCAGACGGTTACGCCTAGCGAAGTGTTTTGCACGTTGAGCACAATTCATGCTGTCTGGGTCCTTTAGCTTCCTCATTCCCTTCTGGCAATAGCGCCTCAGGGGTGCAAGGTATTGGTTTACTGCAAATATACACATATGGAAACACCATGATCAATACATATAACTTTGTTTTCAAATTAGTTTTAAGAGGCTTTACATTTATTTCAGCAGTAAAATTCTACTCTGTTAATCTGTGTATGTGTGGCAATTCTTGAAAACTACTTACAGATTTGATCCTGCTCAGTCTGACTAATTGATCTTCGTGATCTTGTGGCTTCTGTGGGACAGCCAAGAGCTGTAACACAAAGAGAAAAAAATTGTCAAAAAAGATAACAAAGAAACAAAATAGCAGTGTCATCTTAAGAATTGGTCTTTGGGTGACCATGCTAAGCCATACATTCAGTGCCCCAAACACTCTGACTACACTCCTCATACAATCCAAAGCACCCCAGCACTGTTTGGTTTATTAATTTATCAATGGTTTCAGTGATCAGGGAATAAATATGTGTTTGGCCGTGATTTAACATGTTAAAGAAATACTTCTCAAACCAGCCACAGATAATGGCCAAAGCCGAAAATTATCCACGTCCAGGCCCCTAGCCGATTTTAAAAGTACTTGTTTAATACCAGCCAAGCACATATTTATTTCCATGCATATAAACCTTTCCGTCAAACAGTCAAAACAAGTCAAAAATTCACAGTTTTCCAACAACTTTGTTCAACACTTTTGAATCATGTTTTGCGAAACAACCCTCTTGCCATTTCTCTAGTATGTGCCTCGCACACTTAGTGCTAAAAATCTCCTTTTATGGAGATTAGCGCCATGTGGTGTGGAACGCAGCGGTGCAGGAATTAAGTATTTCAAGCCAGTTGGTGTTTTATAAGCGGTTTAAAACCACCAAAGTGAGGGCCTTTCGACCAAAAGGAACGGGTAAACTGTCTTAGGTATTTATGAATACATTTGAAAACAAAGTAATTTGCTGGAAAAGTCGTGACATCACTCAGAGGTCACCTTGTTGCAACCATGATTACTGATTCTACTTCACGAACACTGCATCGGCCCAGTGAACACAGTGGTATCGCTTATGACTGTTGTGAATCTGTTTCATAATTGGCTTGATTCTCTTCTCTGAAGCGAAAATAAGCACACTTTGGTTGTAACTGGTGTGGTGACAATCTACTGAGAGGCAGTGAACCATTTTCAGGTACTAAGTAGGGAAAACGTTCTATAAAACTGTGATATAAAATTGCCGTCTGTGATCGTGTGTGTTAAACATTCTCGAAATTTGTCGTTTTGGAATGCACATGAACGTGAACAGTTGTTGAAGATGAGAGCCTGACCAGGGGAGGTGGTGATGTCGCACTTTCTCAGCATATACTGGTGCTAAAAGGTTAATCAGTATAATAACACTCTGTATACCTTCTCTTTGAGGAACGTCCACACCTGCATTGGTCATGAGAGTAACTCCAGCATCCTGAAAGTAATTACAGTAATTTCATTACCATAGTTATCTCCTGATTCAAATTCTGCAAATTGTTTACCAAAGGTCGAAAGTTACTTATAACATGTTCAGATGAAATTTGGTTGATTGTCTGCAGAACACTATCTGCAAGTGCCACTGACAGTCTTGATTCAGAACTAAATTTGTTTGGGGGCAGAGAAGACAATTTTTTTGCAAATAGGATTTGATATTAGAAGAGGCTGACCATCCAGTCTGCAGGCCAAAGGGAGTAAAGTAAAGCAGTAAAGAAGGGCGTTGGTGGGAACTCTCTTAATGCTAGGGGCCTTCTTTTCCCTTGTTTTATTTTCTATAAATATATCAGGAATCTGTGGAAGGAAAGGAGATAACAACAATGTGGTCCTTATATAGCGCTATATACCAAAGGTCTCAAAGCACTTCACATGGACGTGACCTCTCCCATCCCAAGGGTGGATCCAGAACAACATTTTTTTTGGGGGGGGAGCAAATTTTTTTTTGGTATACCCCAAAAGTGGGATCCAAAAATTACGGGTATGGGCCCCAAAATCTTTTGGGATTGTAGTTGCACTGTGGTGCGATCTGAGGCAATTTCTGACCACTTTAACCAAATTTGTTTGAGGAAAAGATGATGGTCTTCGCAGTGCCTGCCTTTATTGCGACCTCACTTTAAAAAAAGAAAGAAAAGACATTGGGTTCGTTTTTAAGGGGGCGCCATGGCCCCGTTGCCGCCATGGCCCCGTTGCCCCCCCCCCCCCCCGATCTGCTCTTGTCCCACCATAAGATCAGCCAGTGATCAATGCACACAGTCATACAACTACATGTACATGCATGTATGTGCAATAAGGCCAGGTATTAATTATCAGTCAAAATAAGAAAGTCTAACCTTGAAGATGGTTGCTGTCGTGGGGCCGCCTCCTGGTCCACACCCCAGATCATAGCCAGCCATTCTCTTGAATACCTGCAGAAACAGACAAGGACAATGGATTGTCCAACAAGCACGCATCTCCAGTTTGGCACTTGACCATAACATTTCAACAAAGCTAGTCAAATCGAATAAATTCATACAGAATTTTCAGAATCATCTTGGGAAATCAATACACTCGTAATTATCAACTTGCTCTTTCTAGCCTAGGTTTGAATCACCATTACGACAAAAGAACTGATCTTTGTACAAATTTCGCTTTTAATAGTTTATAAATCAGGTAAATTTAATGAGTGCATGGTTCCCTCAATCAAACGTTTACACACTATAAAGCTCAGATCTGGCTGTACAGTTGAGGAATGTTCCTGTTCATTCAATAGATCTAAAACAGATATACAAGATTGAGCCTAATTGATTGATGGAGGACCTCTAGATTGAGGAGTATTTTTACATCGATGTAAAAATACTCCTCAATCTAGAGGTCCTCCATCAATCAATTAGGCTCAATCTTGTATATCTGTTTTAGCATCGCATTTATTGTCCACGAATTTTGCTATTTTACACAAGAGATTTCTCCTGCAAAGTAGTAAAATGTTGGTATCCCGGACATTTTTTCAACTTTTAATTTTGTTTTTCTTCATTAAGTCAGAATGGGTTTTAGCTGTCGTTCATTCAGGACACAACAGGAGAAATAACTTCTTTTCAGTAATAAAGTCAGTGATGATGGTGATCAAACCCTCTGTATGTCACATAAATCAGCTTGCATCATGAGTCATTTACAATGTACCTCAAATCCCAAAATTCAGAGCATCTTTCCTTGATGCACACAATACCAGAGAATCATAACACACACAAGTACCTTCTGTTGAGTAAGTCGGTGATAATTACGCAGGGTAAATATGGCTTCATCCACTGCAAGCAGACCGATGTTGGTGTACTCATATGCACTGATCCGCAACTCAACGTTCTTGTCACTACCATCTGTCTGGAAGACCATTACTTCGTCGCGACTCTCTTTTTCGAGGCCTTCAAATTCCAAATGAATCTTGTCAAAGAAAGAAAAGACGGAACCAAATTTATGCGTTAATACAGCCACCAAGTTAAAGAAAAAGAGCCACATGTAATGTTTTAATAAAGCCTAAACTATTGAAAAAGCATAAAATATGTAATATTTTAATAAATATATATATTTTTATCAAAAAGAAATTGCAGGAAACCTCATCAACAACATTTTGGCCAAATGGTGGATCTGCCCTCCTTTTTAAGTTCAAACTTTCCTGTTTTGTCTTCTTGTTTATAGACAGCATTTTTTGAAAATAAATGTGGGGTGGTGTTTGATGGTAAAGAATATCAGTTACTTGTAAAGTACAGCTTGGCCACACAACATACCAATCAGCAAACTGGGCCAGATACCATGTGACCACTTCTTAAAGCTACTAACTGAAACTTCTGCCATATAGATTAATTAACATACTAGTTTATTATTGTGCTGCATGGTGAACAGCATGCACATTTGCCAACATTTGTTTTGTTCATATGACGGGATATATCAGGCTCGTTACTAAATGACATTTACATTCTTAGGGACGATGCCACGCATACTTTTTCTACAGAGAAAATGGTCCAATCTATTAGTATGTTACACACATGAAGGTGCACATGAATGTGCTCTAGACAAGTACTTTCAAAGATCTCATCCATACTATGATGTAGCCTTGGTCAAGGCGTTCGTCATTATCTGTCAATGGGTACGGTATTCGGCGGCATATCCTCGCTATGCAGTGCATGAAAAAATATAGTGCAAACAGCGACCTCATGGGGCCACTATTTATGCAAATCATTTGGATCAGATCAAACGCCTTGGTTCAATCGTCGACGAAAGCTTGTGTTTTTCTTTATTTTGCGCTAGATTTCTAGCGCATGACCTCATATGCGAATACAGATAGGTGTTGGCGGGGCCCCATTTGGAGTGTCCAATCACACCTTAGTAAATCCCAACGTCATCAAATTATTTGCAGCTATTCGCATTTCGCAGACGTATCAGAAACCACATTTTTTGTGCATTGGTGCTCTGTGCAAAAATGTGAGACACACAACGTGTGTCTATGTGTGTTATACCTCTCACCGCTATAGTGCGCTATGAAACGATTTGCATACAGATAGTGGCCGCATGAGGTCGCTGTTCGCGCTGTATTTTTACATGCACTGCAGGATATGCCGCCAAATACCGTACGGACGGATAATGACAAACGCCTTGACCAAGGCTAACTATGATGTGGCTTTCAATGTCTCAGTACCGGTACTGCCCTACATGCATTTGCTTTTGTAAACTGTTTGATGTTTTGTGACTTACAGGATTTTCACACATCTCCCGGACTTCAAAGAACAGAGAATCAGCGATGATGTTTCCAGTTGTGCTGGCGTAATACGCAACCACCCGCGCTGACGGTTCCATGTCTTGAGTTATCCTGATTCCAAGGTCCATGTTGGGATTGATCTGATGTCGGGATCCCTCGTGTACAATCTTGCCGCCAGCGATGACCTACCAAAAGATGACAGAATGACCCATCATAAAAACTTGTCTCTTTTTGTGCACTTCTAGAAGCAATGACACTTAAGTCCGTCAACTGCGAAACCATGTTTTCATAAAACATGAGGACCACTAGACGATAGTACAGATTTTGTAAAAATAAAAGAAGAAGCTTGCCTGGCATTTGTGCCAGCCTTTGGAGGAATAAATTCAGAGCTGTGCCAAATATACGGAATATTCAAATATGTGATCATCAACTGCATATTAAACCAAATAGCATTTATTTTCCAAATATTTGAAAAAAGTAAGCTGTCTTGATAAGGAGATGATGAAAAAACGTATCAGTTGCATAGTGTTATAGTTGACGCATGATTTGCAAGCTTCAATGAGGCCAGGGATATCAACTTAGATTTTGGCTTTAAAATCACTCTAATATCAGCCATTCCACTACCTGTTCTTTACCCAATTTGAATAAGCTCTTTGTCAATTTTTGACAAGTGCAGGCACAAGCAAATCCCAATCAGCTGCCAGTTGGCGCATGTTTGACTTGATTGGTGTGTTTCAAAATAGACTATTCAAATATATATTCGATCAAGTCCACGTTGGAATAATCAGATATTAAATTATTTCAAAATAAACTGCTCTAGGCTACTTAAAAACACAAGGTGAGCTTACTTAAAAACAAATTATTGACAATCCTCTGTTATCTTGAACTTACAAAGAAGTGGAGAGTTTCAACATTATCAGGATGTGTTAACTGCACTTCTATGGAGCTGCTCCTTCCAGTCTAAAAGCATCAAGAGAAATACAACACAAATTGAAATGACAAAATATTGCTATGTTTACTCCCTGTAGCTAGGGTTGTAGTTAAGTCACTTGAGTCGAGACTGATGAGCAACTTGTTTGAATTGAATGGATAGGCCTACATGCAGTATCTTGAAAATCAATGACAGGGACCCTATTCTTTATGAAACAACCCAACTTATCAATCCCTATTACTATACCTCATACATATTCATGATCAAGAGCCGAATTCTCACTGGTCAATTCACCATCACGTGCCAGAAGCTATTTTTGCTGTTTTCCAAGAGTGCGCGCGAGTATTCACGCACAGGGTAAATACACATGCAAATCCGGTAGTAGACTGGCGCACGGGTGACCTTGCACCGGTCTACTACACATGCGTATTTACAAAGCAATCATGGAGCTGTCGCACAGGTGAAGTATGCACGTGCGAACATCGCCCGAGCTAGCTACACATAAAAAGATGGTTGCCCACGTAAATGTTAATTAGCGTTTTCCCGAGCTCAATGATGCTGAACTTGAGAATTTTTGGGCAAATAAAGATGCTCCTGTACTAAAAACAAGTTGTTGCAAACAACTGTATTTACAACTTTGTCACTGTATTGCAAACGAGCTGAACTTTTCTGAGGTTGAGCAATACAATTCTTCTGGTGAGCTGGACAAACTTCTGGACAAAGATTTTATGCCCAGTTAGTAGAGTTAGTGAGTTAGTAGGCGCATACTGCAACGGGATAATTTGGCAACTGAATATTTATGAGGTATAGTAAAACAAATATAACATAGTTTATTTCGGGTGGACAGTTGATATTAGCTCCCCTAGGTACTGGAAGTTGACAAACTAGTTCCATCCGCTTCGCCTGCGGAACTAGTTTGTCAACTTCCAATACCTCGGGGAGGGAGTCTCGACTGTTCACCCTCAAACCATGTTATATTTGTATACTGTCAAGGGACTAATAGTCCTGGATTGGGGTCAAACAACTCAGGAGGGTGAGGACGGACACAGCACACTGTCCGAAACCTGAGGTTCTACACTCAACCAAGCAACCAAGGTGGTTCTTTCCAGAACCACACTTTTTCCAAGAAGAAATTACTTTCCACATGGTGTTACCCGCAATCTTTCTACTCTATCTCATCCGCCACGTAAAGCTTCAAGTCATATCTAACTGTTTGACCATAAAGCTGGTCATTTTTTGGTCCCTTTCTGCTTACCTGTGTCCGTCTGTTTCCTCCTGAGGATGGGCGATGAACCAGTAGGAACTCACCGCTGCTTGACTCTTGGGGCAGGACAATGAATGTACCCTGGCTCTGGGCATCGTCACTCAAATCACCGTCTCTAGTCTCCAACTGTAGATAATGTCAGAAAATCAGTTGGTTTACATCTAATATTACTAGATAAAATAGGAAGGAGATATAGAAGGAGCTTTAAATCGGCTCTGAAGACCTATTGTTCTCAGAGGCAACGTCAACATAAATTGTGAACTTATTTCTGCATAATTACTGGTCAGGGTTGGATAATATGGCAAGCACCATGAGCGTCCATCTGTGGCGGACACCGGGGCTTCACAAATCATCTTCATTTATTCATTTAAATGTTTTTTTTTCAAACAGTTCTGGTAGGATCAAAAGAGGGTGCACTCTCAGCACTCATGCATACATATATTCATAGTATGTCGCAGGCTTTTGAGAATTAGATAAATAATACAGAAAAAAGTTATTTAAAAAAGGTATTTAAATCAGAAGGTTCGTGGATTTGTTATAGAACTTAGAAGTATATATGCATGGGTGGAAGTTTGAACCTCATGAGGCCTTTTCCCTTGCTTCTCATTTTACCTTTAAAACAACATGAATGAGGAAGGAGCAATTCCTTACAACACAGAGCTTAAGCTGAGTTTGTAGTGTCAAGAACACAAAGGCAAAAATTAGACCCAACCATTTAGGGAGAAAGCTTCAAAGCCAGAAGGGGTCCACAATGAAATGTTCTTCATGCTTGGTATTGCATGACAAACCAGAACTTTTTATATAAGTTTGAATTATTTGATGATTAAATTGTCTACACTTTCCTTGTAAGCAACTGAAAAGTCCAGCACATAAAAGCCAACTTGGTTAAACAATACCCATACCTGGCCAAAGGCTGTCTACGGGCCAGATGTTCAAAACCACACGTTAACACAATGTGATCACAAGTTTGTCGCAATCAATTGTTGCATATGGTAACTTAATATTAACACATTTTGAAGTGAATAGCTACTTGAATCATTCTATCAGGCCATTTTCAGTCCGTTTTCCCGTTCATTACATATAAGCCTTTTGGCAATACTATGCAACAAGCACAAGATAGGCTGAGATGCATTTATGGAAAAACTGTTAGAAATTCACACAAAACATTTTATAGCTAACATAGCTGCATGAGACCATAGGTTACAAACATTTTCTAGAGGTGTAGGAATTGACCCTGGCCAAAAAAGGAAACCCTCATACAGTCAAAGGACTCATGAAATTTGGTACCAAAACCTTAAAAACAAATTTACTGCTACATATTTTTAAGACGTTTAAGTTTTAACAATGGAAACAGATCAGCTTGTTTGGTGATGTACAGCATGCCATTATACAGAATCCCTTTCTTCCTAGAATTGCCTCATCTTTGAGCTCATACATCATGAGCAGGATGTGTTCAGAGCCATACAAAATGCACATGCGATGGGCGTTCGGGTATGAAAGCGTTCCAGTATTCAGTAATGGCTAACAGAACAGTCACTGTACTTTAAAAATTGGATTGGTGTACAATTAGCTCGGTGTGTTGATGAATTGTGAGAGAGGCATATCTCACAATAAAATAGTGACTGTGCATGCATACCACATGCATTTCCTTCATGTACTGATAACATAGGATTTCACTTACAGTGATGGTGATCCCAGTTGCATCTGAGGGCACATCAAGCCTGAAATCCACCTCGCCTTGGGAGCCCGATACCTTAGTCAAGGTTTCTTGAGCATTGTTGGCCAGCGAACCCTCCAGTGCCACCTCACTGTCATTCTCCAGCTGAGCCACTGCTGAGACAGCCACACTAATACTGGCAGCCGGCAGGCCACTGATGAATTGGACATTGGCCTTAATATTACAAACATACAAGTAATAAACTGGTAAATAAATGTATTCTCAGACATGTTCAATTAGCACAATCAATTTTGATTACTGTCACATGTCAATATTAAACACTAACATGTATTGCACAACATTTGACTGAGCAATCTGTTTTTGATTGGTTGCAAACATATATATTGTGAATGGTTGGAAATGTTTAAATGCATCCCTACAGCGTCCATGTTTCTATTGTGCAAGATTTGGACATAAAAAACGCTCATCATTTGTGACTGAATCTCCTATGTACATGTAGGAAAATGATACAATTATGTCATAGGCTGCTAAGGGGACAGAGAATTCAAAATGAGCTACTCATTCATGTCATTATATTACAATCTTGGGTCATATTTATCAATGAGCAAGATATTGTAGGTTGATCAGCTTCAGTCAACATCTTTTGTCTTGCAACTCTGATAAGATTTTATAGGTTTTCCTGAAGACTCTTAACCACTTTGTGCCAGATCTAAATTTCGAAAAGCAAACTTTCTCAGTCAACTACTTATATACGGCCAAACGCCACAAATACTGATTCACAAGAGTGATTTCAACAGTATTTGTACAATAGTTCTTGCCGAAACCACTTATGTTTCAATATGACGTGTGCACAGGAGCATAAATTGCACAAAAGGCTGTGCATAACAACCCGCACAATTGGCCCACACAACAGTCAGCACACATGTACAGTCCACCTCCACAGACTTTGTGTGTGTACAAAAGGCAGGAGGGATTAGCTTGTTCAGACATCACCTGGGTGCGAGTCGAGGCAATCTTGATGTCTAAATCCGTCAGCCATGCCTGCATGCAAAAAACAGCCAGTGCATGTTATCATGGCCTCCGGCGCGAACTGGTTAAAACACTTACCTTTACAGCAAATGGCAAGCCTTTCTTAAAGTATCGCTGTGTGAGGTCCCAGTTAAACTTGTAGGGTGTCCTGCTGAAGGTGACATGAGTGTTGTTGGTGTTGATGGTCTCGCCTGTGGCTGTGTCTGTCACGAAGGCCTGGATGACCAGCCGCTTGCCCATCAGTGTCTCAGCCCAATTCTCCAACGTCACATCAGCCATTGTCATTCTCTCATAGGCACGGCCATCATTCAACTGCATTCAAAAAGTTTACTCCACTTATTAGTTCATCTTTCAGTTCATCTTTCAGTGAGGCTTTCAGTGAGTGATTGATGTAGAACTAAGTTCTACATCAATCATCATCAAGTATTTGTAATGAAATTTATCAGAAATATGTAGACATTATCAATTACCTCGCCTTGCTTTATCTGAAGAATTGTCAGATTTCCATCGTCGGTGTACACTCCATACTTCACAAGATAACTACCGACCACTGTCTCACCAAAAGCGTACCTACGAAAAGATGTATTCAGTAGAGACCTCATCAAAACAATGACAACACATACTTTTCAAGCAACATTTTGGAAAAACAAACATGTGAGTACAGTACCCAAAATTGTGTATCCCCAAATTGCTTGGCATGCTGGTTACACAATAAACTACTTGCAACTGCTAGATGATGATGATGATGACACCAAAAAAACGCAACTTTCAATGTGTAGTTGTGTGAACATTTATATTCTACTTGGATCTTTCCAACTACCGTAATTTCCTGCGGATAAGACGCGTCTTATCTGACTTTTAAACCACAAAAACATCGCTGCGCCTTATCTACAGGTGCGCCTTATCTGGTGTCGCTTGAGTTTTTCTTTGTGTGAAGAATTCTTTCAATGCCGCAATCAATAATGCAGTCAACCAAGGCTCAACTCTCCAGACATTGTGACCGTATTTTCATTCCAACAATGCCGCGATGTGTTGATCCCCCATGATCGTGCTTTCATTCCAACAATGCCGCAATGCGTTGATCCCCCTTAGTGTTCGTGCTTTCGTTCCAACAATGCCGTCATACAAACGTTTTTCTTTGTGGCCGTTTTTTCATTCCGAAAATGCTGCAATCAGAATTACTTAAACGTTTGGAAATCGCATTCACTCAAGTTCTATTGTGTGAACGTTGAGGGTGTTTATTGTACAGGATATCTTCGAAGTCTGCTTTAGACTTTAGCCGTGTCCGCACTGGACTCTTTTTTTGGAAGGTTTTACCGAGACGATGGTAAAATGAGAAATGGTCAAATGTGACCACTGTCCGCACTTGGACTTTCGACACGGGAAAATTTACCCAGGCAGCGTGGGAGAAGTAACCGAGCTGTCACAGTGTCAGTATAATGACTCACCGTACACAGAAAACAAATTGCCGATCACATTTTCAGCCGCCGATACGCACAGTAATATTACACACGCCATTTGCATGCACAACATAATCGTTTACACGATATTATTTCATCTTGACACGCTAAATCTTGACGAAAAGGCCGATAATTCTGACGCATTTGTGATGCACGTCGTCGAAGCCATGCCGCTGTGCAATGTTCCGTGCGGCAGCAGTGCCATCAGTATTCGTTGGTTCCCATCGCATGCTTACAGAATCGAAGCTATGATGTGGGCCAGGAACCAGTGACTACGGCCTACGTACGGTACCAGACCATGATGTTCCGTGCATGTTCCGTGCAATTTGGATCGTAGAAAATAACATACATCGGTGGAGAAAGAGAATTTCCGCAAATTAATTCTCAGAACGTGATCTCTCTTCTCTGTGTATGTATTTGTCCGTTGAAATATATATTTTAACGAGATTTTACCGCTCGGACTTGATGATACACCGCAGCGTGTTTCTACAAAATGTTCGGCCACTGCACGTGCAGGTTCGTGCGGTCTCTGTATGCATAACAGGGCGCTCGGGCCGGATGTACGCTTTCCTGAGCCGCTTTTACCGACTCGCACTGTCCGCACTGGACTTATCGTCTCGGGAAAAGTGCTTCATGGCTCTACATGTGACCAGCCATTGTGGTTACGGTTTAATTCATCCTCCGAATAGTGTGATCGTTCTAAGGCAACACAATGGCCCCTTTGTGGCGATGTACCGACACCGGGTGACGCCTGGTGTTCTTCTGTGTGCGGTCAAACATGCGTCTTATGCGGCGGTGCGCCTTATCTGTTGGCGTTTGAATTTTTTGTGTGTGATTTTAGGGACCTGCGCCTTATCCGCCGCGCGCCTTATCCGCAGGAAATTACGGTACATGTATTATCAGTTTGTGGGAAATGTGCTTTAGAGCCCAAAAGGGCACATTCCGGACAAAAGGGGCCCTTTCCACTTTGCATGGCTATATAGCAGCTAGCTACTTCATGAAAACTTCACATACCACAAGATAATGTACCTGGTACTTTAGACAGCCTTTCTTTTTTGTTCTCCCCCTTCCCCCCTCTCTCTCTCTAGCCATGGCTGGTATCAGTAGGCTATACTGCTGGCATAGGTTGACTCTAGGATGCACTGGCCTTGTTTGCTAATTGGGTCTCTTTTGTTTAATGAAAGCAGGAAGGGTTTGCCCTGATGCCAAGACAGGGCAAGGTGAGCTAAAGTTATATATTCGTACTGTGACTCTTGCTGTGGTTGAACGGATGGTGGTCCGAATGCATTTGGCATCAAAATTTAACCGTTTTCTGAGAGTTGGAAATCCTGTTGTCTGCGATTCTCTGTCAGGGTTTTGCTGCATAGTGGATCACTCTACAATAACTTACCTGGCAGTAACATAGGTGACCAGATAGTCAGTTTCTGGTACAATGTACTTCTCTTGGGTGCTGACCTCAACATTAAACTTAGGCAGCACTATAAATCAAAAAAGAAACAAGTTTATTAACACTCCCATTTGATTTGAGCTTTCAGGATTGGTTTTTAATTCAGGAATCATGAGCACAAATGTGAATCGTGATTTCAGCCAAATTTATACCATCCCTGGCGGAGCAGCCTGGTGGAAGAACATGTGGCGTTTAGCACATCTTCACTTTGTTATTTGGACTGGTAAAGGTAAATATTAGGATGTGTTGGCAATTTTTGTGTTTCTATAAATAGAGGCTTCTTTGGGGTTTTCCCCCAGACTTACCATACTCCTTTACTTCAAACTGGATTGAGGTGTTAGCTTTGAACTGGAAGATAACAGAGAACAGTGTCAATAACAATGCATTAGTAGTTTCTCAAGTTATGGATAATGGTGTACACCTGGTTTTTTGGTGACTGCTCTATGTTCCGACACCCCTATGTTCCGACAACCTGCACATAAGACTGTGTACTTCCGGTTAGGGTTAGGGTTAGGGTTAGGAATAGGAATATGTGCAGTCGGAACATAGGGGTGTTGGAACATAGAGGTGTAACCGGGTATTTTTGTTCAAGTCACGCACTATTTCTAATTTTTCTGCTCTATGGATAAATATTACAATAAACCACTGAAACTGTGAAGCAAATCTTTATTTTGTGCCGTTTGTCGATTTGTCTAGTCACAAGCGATCGTGCAATATCATGTAGCACCACACTCAGGGTTTTCCCGATGGGCCAGTAGTAGTGATCAGATCAACTCGAAAGCCATGCTTGCATTTCCAATGCGGTCACGTGGCCAGCGATTGAACCGCTGGCGTACTGGCTGCAATTGGGCCAGCGGTAGCGATCATGCTGACTGGAAAGCAAGGATGCCAGATCACGATGGCATCGTGCACGCTGCATCCACACGTCAAAACACAAACTGCGTTCGGCAATTATGGCTCATGTAAAAAGTTTCACAATCTTTTTAAGCAGTATACTGGGAGCGCAATATTGAGCACGCTTCTTCAAAGGATTGCAGCGACCATTGCGGCTGCTCTGCGTCTCCGGCCTTCCTGTGTGATTGGTCACAGGTCGCTTGGATCACTGTCGGTTGCACCGCAGTAAATAGGCTGCTTCAACGATACTACGGACACTAATAGTCTCTTCGTTGCTTTTCTTTACCCGAGTTTGGGTGTATTGGTTTGGGTCGAGGAGATTTCGTAACTTACAAAAGGATTCCAGTTTCTTCTGTGGCCTAATTACACAAGTTTATTTCTGCACATGGCCATTTTGAGTTCGACTTAACTGAGTTTCCAGTCTGAACTTTCAAGTAAGTGCGGGAACATTTATACATGATTTGCTATTCTTTTGACGACAATAAGTTCTTGCTTCAAGTTAACCGGGTTTTTGAGTTAACCAGTTTTGACTTATCGAGATTTCACTGTACTCTCATCCGTAAAGCAGCTCTATTTGTCTGTCTCTGTGGTTGCATGCATTTCACCTGTTTATCACTTGATGAAAATATTTTGTTTTTCTTTTTTTTTCAACCTTGACATTTCACCAACCTTATGCCCGTAGTAAGCAACTACTGTCCAGTTCCCAAAGACAGGGAGTGGGGGAAAGGCAAAGTTGATAGTCAGGAATCCTTTCTGTGGTGCTTTCTCGTAGCGATGAACAATGATTTGATCTGGGTTGACAATGTCCACCTTCAACTAGTTTGAAAAGAGAAGAATATAATGTAAATAATCTGACTTCCAATATCAACAATTTTCTCTAGAAATAAGAAAAGAAGCATAAAGGTGCACACGCCACAGATCCATGCCCAGCCATTTTGGACAATTAATCGAAGGGTGGATCCAAGGGCAATGTTTTTTTTTTTGGGGGGGGGGGGGGAAGGGCTAACCACCAATCAACCCTGCCCCTCCCCAACTGACCAATGTTAATTATTTACATTATGGAGAAAAAATCCCAAATGTCTTTAAGTTCCCTGAATAACATCATCACTCAATTTGCAAAAGTTGATTCTCTGCTTTGGGCATTTGGTTTTTTGTGTGCATTGTATCATCCAGCCCCCTCCCTTTCCCCCAAAAAACTCTCTTTGAATATTAATTTTAAGTATTTTAACATGTACACATCAACAAACTTGGTGTACAATTGGACAATTAAAACAAACCAAAATGAAAATGCTCACGTTATGATAAGTAGGATGCATTTTCTGATCGAGTGCAACAACACGGATATCCACTGCAATAAAGACAAACACAAAATAGAACAAAAAATATTGTTATCATGTCCTTTAAAATCAATCTGAAGATAAGCAACAAGCACATCACTTATCTCTGATGAGACATTCAATATTTCACATTTATTTTTAGAGCACACGGTAAAAGCAGATTTCCCGATAAGTGTCATGATGACAGTAGTGATATCAAAGGAGTAAAAGTATCCTGCCCTGATCTCGATTTCTAATGTATAGTGAACATTATTAGTTAACATTATAGTTAACATTATAGTTAACATTATTAAACATTCTTTAGTAAGTATTTATAAAGCCCTATCTCAGTATCCAAAATCTCTGTGCTATCCGTGGGTCAAACCCTGCAGGTTTTTGGCAAACTCATGTCGTCACACTGGCAAGAACCCATCACAGCTTTGGCACAGGTCTGACGCTCTACACAGGTACAATTCAGCCTGGTCAGGACCAGGGTTCAAGAATGGGTAGGAAATCAACATTTCAGCTGACCCATGTACAAGTAAAGTAAGTGCGTACTTGTACTACATAACTACAAAAGGGAGAACAACAGATTACAGATCCTTTCAGTCCTTGGGAGTTGGGTCTTTTGTTCAAAACGGTCCTCTGTGGTAGGTTTGTGTGCTTAGTCTATGGGAGAGTGTTATATTGCAGGGACAAAGGAAAACACAAAGCATTGTCTTTGGGAGTATAGTAAAACAAGAGTGGGTGAACAGTGAAATGTATGCCTTGTCATCAACTAGTGTTCCATCTGACCCACATCTGCTCACAGTGGACCAATAACTGTTAGGCAAATGATTGTGTGGAAAAAGTCTTATAATGACCTCGTTGGGTTGGCGTATACAGTGGCTTATCTGTCTGAATGAAGACAAACCCAGACTGGTAGCTGAGTAGGATAGTACGTCGGTCATTGATCTGGAGTTGTGGCGTGTTGGCAGTGGCGACCAGCGTGATAAACTGCTGTTTGCTGGTATCCTGCTGGGGTAATTGGTCCCGGCGAATCTGCAGGATTGCCTCTTGCGGGTTATCTGAAACAAATTGCAGTGAATGACTGTAAAATGCCTCCTTTACATTTTGCTAAATGGATGCATGACTTGCAGATTGATTGATTCACCATGAAAACACCATGTATCCAACAAACACTCTATAATTGATACAAATTTGACTAAATAGATCTGAACATGCTTTGTTTTAATATAATAATCATGCCTGTAAAACGGACCCCCCAGAAAAAAACCCATAACGACCAACCTACTGACCGACCGACCGACCAGCTGACTGACTGCCCAAAACAGTCCTCACTCAAACAGCAAGGTAACGAATATGTATTAAAAAGCAGACAGTCAGTCAAAAACTTATTTGTATGAACAGGGGACAAAACATATTTCTTGTTAATTGTAGTGTGCATCAAACCAGACCATAATACCCTGAACAGCCAGACATTGCAGGTTCCTGAAATATAATTAAGGGAATAAATGTGTGCTCGAGAGGTTTTAATCACTCTGTTTAAGACTGTTAGAGTCTGGGTGCTGATAATTACCCGAGCCGGAGGCGAGGGTAATTATCAGCACCCAGACTCTAAGCAGTCTTAAACAGAGTGATTAATACCGACCGAGCACATATTTATTCCCATTCATTATAAAATACCTTTTCGGTAAAAAAAAATCAAGTAATTCGTTAAAAAAATCCCGATTTTGATCAACAAGTTCACTCCAGCTTTTTGAAACATCCCTCTAGCAAAATAATGGAGTGTTCAGCTGGCGAGTAAGATGTAAACAACCCTTTTATGGAGATTGACGCGCCCGTAGCACGTTCTGCGCGATGTCGCGCAGAACGCACCTGGGGCGTTGCGTTTTGAATTTAGAACTATAAAATTCGGACTCACTGGTAGTGTTGCGCATGCCTACCTAAGGATTGTGAACGTTCAACCAATGAAACGGTAAGAGGCACTGGATTTTTAGGAGTCCACATTTTATGTGACACTGGAAAAGTGTTTAAGACCAGCTAGCCATGTCTTTATCATCCGTTTAAGACCGGCCACGTGACGGGTTCTCGACCAATAGGAATGGCTAAACTGTCTGAGGTATTTATGAATATAATATAATACTATGCTTATTTTCTTGAGGAGTATTTTGTAATTTGTAAATGGCAATGCTCAATGAATACAGGGTTAGTAAAAAAACACGAAACCAAATGTCGGGACCATTGTTTTAGTGAAGTTCTGCATGTAGCACTTTCAAAATCTCAGATATGAAAGCCCAATTCATAAGCTTTCTATTAGAACAAGAATCATTCAAATTACTCATGTACTTAGCAAGTTGTAGAATTTTAAACGTAACCAAAGTTTTAAAGTTCTGTCAACGGATCACAAAAAAGGTAAGTGTTCTTTCAGCAAAACAAAAAAAAATCACATAGGGATGTGTGTGAATGGTTTTCGTTGTGCTGAAAGAACGCACACCTTTTTTGTGATCCATGGACAGAGCTTTGAAACGGTGGTTGTGTTAAACTTTGCAAAGTATATGAGTGATTTGAATGATTCTTGTACTAAAAGAAAGCTTATGAATTGGGCTTTCATATCCTAGATTTTGAAAGTGCTACATGCAGAACTTCACTAAAACAATGGTTCTGACATTTGGGTTTCATTTTTTTACTCACCCTGTACTGACCAAGAAAAGGGCCTGCAGCAACTACATGTACAATGTACAAGTACATGTACCAGTATATGCACTGACTAGTGAACCAGCAGTGGAATATTACACTTTGGATGTCATTTTTTGGTAATAGCAGGCAACCATGTCAGATCAATCAGTCAAAGGATGGAGAAGAAAATGTAGGTGGATGCCAACCTTAATTTTGACTCAAATATACCTAATTTGCATAAATTGTTAATCCCTCCCGCGTACTATATTTATTCCCATATTTGGGTATATTCTTAGTTTTTTTTTTAAAGTTTATTTTGGTGATTCTACTTACACACCCTTACTTAATTAAATAACATTTTCTTAAGCATATAAGTGACTAGCAGGCAACCATGTCAGATCAATCAGTCAAAGGATGGAGAAGGACATAGTAACGATCCAAAATGGTTACTTTAATACCCCAAAATTACGCGCATTTACCTTGTCTCCAGATATCATCAAGTAGTCTTGCCTGAACCTCAGTATTGATGAGCTTCAAATTCACCAAGTTGCTTACTGGCACAGTTGCCCTATAAAACCATATGGAAAATCATGTGAACAATGATAAAATTGTGATGTTTAGCTCAGCAAACAAAAACAGGGGGAAACAAGTTTGCTGTCCGTAATTTACTTATTAGGCCAATTGACAGACGCCTTGTTTTCCCGTTTTTTGTTTGCTGGGCTAAATATCACAACGTTATCATTGTTCACATGCGTTTCCATTAGGTTTTAATAGGGTCAATGTGCCAGTAAGCAATTTGGTGAATTTGAAGCTCATCAATACTGTGGTTTGGCAAGACTACTTAAAGATATCAGGAGACAAGGTAGATGCGCGCAACTTTTGCATATACTAGTTGTAGCCATGTTGGATCGTTACTATGTCCTCATAATTATTCAGTTACTTATATGCTTTAGGAAATGTTTTTAAAGTAAGCATATGTAAGAAGAACCACCAAAATAAAATTTCAAAAAAATAAAAAAATATTAATTATACCCAAATATGGGGGAAAATATATTACATGGCAGATATTAACGATTTATGCAAATTAGGTATATTTAGGTTCAAAATTAACGATGGCATCCACCCACATCTTGTATGTTATGGTTCAAAGAATTGATCTAGCATGGATGCCAGCTATTACCCCAAAATGCCGTGAAATTATTTTCTAGAGAACTTTTCCACATTTGGCTGGCCTACTAGACGGCCTGGTGTACTCTTGGACCTATTTCTTGGATCTATAGGCCTACATTCGTGTACACAGCCAGTGCCACAGAGACTGGTTTATTTTTCTCAATAATTTAAAAAAATTCTAAAAACAGGTGTTTACAATGTGATGTAATTTGATTTTCCTAGAATGGTATATATCAGGCTACTTTATTTGAACTTTGTCATCGTTCCTGCTAATGACTCACCATCCATCAGTCATGATCAGTGACAACAAAATCCTCCATACTGGGTTTTGTCTGTGTTTTTTTAAGACTGCATATCACCAATAAATATTTTGAATATTTTAAAGCAAACATGGCAAATGAGTCAATCGCAAGTAAACATAAGGCAAAGATAGGAGGTTACTCCACAAGCTCTGTTGGACATGGACTGCAAAACATTCAGTAATTTTCACATCTGTTTTAATATTTTGGCACCAAATTTAATCTTACTAAAATATAAATTTATTTTATTTAATTCCAATTTGTATCCCTGTTCCTTTTTTGTGAAGGGCTTCAAAGTATCTACCAACAATGATTAATATGCAAACTTAAAATGAACAACCGTAACATTGGTAACAAGGACAGCACAGCCACTAGCAAAACCACATGTATCACACGGAAGGTTTTTAAGCATCCGTAAAGAAAAAAAACTGGGATTGGGTAACATTATCAATGTCAGAGAATAGTGTATATGCTTTGAATGTGATTTAGGAAACAGATGTAATTCTGAATACATATTGCTACAAATAGGTCACTCCAGAAACTACTTTTCCAAGCTGGCATAAATACAATAAATACAAACCCTACTAGATGACAATCACCGTTCATCCTCATTGGATTGATGCCAAAATCAAAGCTGAAGAGTTAAAAGGTAATAGACAAACAATAATGGAACATTTAAGGAGGTTAGCTAGACCGTACATGAGCATGTCATTGTATGTGTAGATTGCACAAATACCTTTTGTAACTCTAACAGTGGTCGCTGAAATTCTCTGATTGCTGCCAGTCAATTGGAAATAAAGTGTCACTGGTACCACATCGCCATCGCTGGTTCCAAAAACATTGACAAGAATGGTTTCTTCTACATCCACACGGATGACATTGGGTGCAATGATGAAATACTGGGCCCTGAATCAAAATAGAAATATGTTACCTTATACACACACACACATACTAGTAATTATTACCCATTAAAATTTAAGCTATCACAACAATGACCTATCGCCGTTTGCGAGTTTAAGCCACGCCCCTTAGACAGCCCTAGACAGTAATAAGTTTGTTTGTCTCAGATTTTGCGCTTTCTGCAAATCGTGTGATTGGATAATATTTCACAAGCTGCATTGAAGCGATTCTACCACAATAGGTTCATTGAGCACTGCAGCCATTTCAAGGACACCACCCCCCAACCCCCCCCCCCCCAAAAAAAAAAATAACAGTGAAAGTTAAATTTAGAAGGAAGCAATTATCCAAGACAAATATTCTACATGCATGCATATCGAAAAAGTTCAATGTGGGGAGGCCAACCAATTGCAACACTACTGTTCATCTTTTCAAACCGTGGACGAAATATACCAGAGAACAAAAGAGAACAATATCGTCCACGATTCCCAGCACACGTCCGCGATTGGGGTCGTGCACAAAACCTACGGGAGTCTTCCTAAAAAGAGTACAAACAAAAGAATAGGACAAACAAAAGGATGTCCACGATCGACGGTGTTTACACGTTTGCCTGTTAGTGGCATGATCAGGAACGAGTTTTGTGTCAATGTGAATGTTGCATTTAACATCATCTCTTACTCACACCACAATGTATAAAATTAAAGACATCCACGGTTTCCCAAGGAATGGTTTCCCATGTATTTTGAGGACTACTGAAGAATACATCTGAATTAAAATGATCAAATATAAGTTTACAGCACTGCCAATTAGTTAACAAATTGGAGTTCACCCTGGCTCAGCCACCGAAGCATGCTAGGGTTTTCCAAACAAAGATAAATTTGGAGACTGCTAGACAGCACAGTTGGAGGAGTCCCAATAAAGAATTTTACTTCCACATACAGAGGTCACTTTCTCTTTGAATGTTTTCCTCTTTTTTTTGTGTTAAAATGAAACTGAATATAAAATTCGAATATGCTGACAAGCCACATGTACGATACCTGTCATGCCTGTATTTCAATTTTTTTTGCAGCCTTGTACATCATCTACATTATAGAGACAGATGATAATAAATTATCAATATAATGTACTAAAAGTGGTGGGTAGCCAAGTCAGGCAGGATCAAATGGAAAAGTAAGGTAGCACTTTAAATGACTAACTAAAATGAAAGTTTGCATAAGTTCAATATAATGTAGTCATGGACAATGAGATATGGCATGTCACAGTGTCTGAGAAGCCTCATGGCCAAATTGGGATTAATATACCCGGTATTGTCATAACTTTTTCTAACTACATGTACATGTATCTCCGATCACATTTTCAATGTTTGTGGTTTTCACACACCAGAACCATCAGGATGGCAATACAAGTCACGGTCAAAACCTAAATTGTAATTGGAATGTGATCTACACCACGTTATCCGTTATCTTCACAGGTTTATTACCGGTACATTTCTAGCCTGCAGGTCTTTGATAACTTATATCAAAGACCCCCAGGTTGGGGGGGGGGGGGGGGGAAGCTACATGTACATGCAAAAAACATGTGAAGAAAACTGAAAAAGTTATCTCTTCTAGGAAAACTGGTAGGTGGTTCCATGAACATTGTTGATCTGACAAGCTGAACTTTGACACCACTATGAAATGAAACTACGTGCTAATGTCACAGCTGGCATGGGGTGATTTAATTTGAAAGTTCCAGAACCAGGATGTATCCTATTTCGCACTTGCACCCAGGTGGTTCTGGACACACGCACATCCCCTTTATTGGTATAACAAGTGCACGTAATGCCGTCTTTCTCCGAATCCATATATTATTGCAAAATCCAACCCACGTGCAAGGATTGAACTTTAGGATGTCCCATACAAAAAGAGCATAGAGCAAGTATCACTAGTGGTTAGACTGGAAATGTTTTAGCAATCTAAACAAGCGTGTCAAATTTATATATTCAAACTGTTTGATCCTTCTGATGGACAAGTAACCATGAAGACAAGACAACATTACTTGTAGGAAAAATTATAAAAGAAAAATGTCATGCTTGTTAATGTTAAGACAGAATTGTGAAAATATAGGTTCGATCTGCATATTTGCAAATTAATCCTGGATTTTATCACTTAATCACACATGGGCATCGCCAGGATGGGACAAGGAGGGGGATTCCGATTGCCCCCCTCCTGCCTCTGGAAAATAAAATTTAAAAAAAAGGAAACGCAAAAAAAAAAAAGAAAAAAAAAGGAGTGAAATTTGCTATTAATTAATACACATTTAACTGCCCTGCCCACCCTTGAAAAATGATAAATTGAGAATGCTCAAAGTGCTTTACCCCCCCCCCCCCTTCAAAGCGCCCTGCAAACAGGGTGCTGGGAAGGGCTGATGAGCTGCACAGAATCTTGTGAAGGAAGTGACATATGACCTATATATATAAAGCATCTGGCTGCAGCTGTTCAAGACCGCAGTTAGCCAATGCGCGCATATCTAAAAACTTCCCATACAAATGCGCACATTCCATACCAGATGTGATTTCTTTTTCATTGTGGACCATGTGGACAAAGTTTGAGCGTCGCATAATGCAATCATTGACCCTTCGTGAATTCGAAACAGAACCTGAGCAAGTGATATGACAGGAATTGACAATTTACAACATGTATAAGTTTTACAGATTTTCGTACATTATGACGCTTTTCAAGGACAAAAAGCATTTATGAATCGGAATAAAAGAGTAATGACTCAGTCTTAAGTCTTAACAGCCGTTTCAAACCTTGCAGGGTCGTGGTCGTGATGACTTGTAAGTTGTAGGTCACAGGTCATGCAAATTCTATCCAATCAGAGAGTAAATTCAGCCCTTCCCAGCATTCTGTTTGCAGGGCGGTGGGTACGAGCGAACTTTTCCTCATGCTGCTTATTCAAGAAATACAACATGTACATCTGGACATGTATACATACCGTCGATCGCACCACGGACCGGCGTATCTCAATTTTTTTGCCAAATTGAGTTTTTGTCTTTAACGTTACTATTTCATCAAAGTGCTCATTCTCAGAAAGTTTTATTCCGATCGGAGTTCTAATTAACTAAGAATGCTAATTAGACTGTGTGGCGTATCTCTGAAAAATGAAAAATGCTGCACCACAAAGTGGCGTATCTCGATACGCCACTTTACACGCTAATTCCCATAGTGCTATGACATCACAAAGGAGCGTCAACATGAAAAATTGGAATTTAGCGTTTCACGAACTGGCGTATCTCCACATCTGGCACACGGCCACTACTACGTGCGTTGTATAACATAGGATAAATATGATAAAAATCTGTTTCACGAAGTGACGAATAACTTTGGAACTGACTTTCGTAAAAACTAAGCAACTCAGATGCACACGGATTGCACACAATAAAGTATGATAATCTATATTGTTTAATAGCAAAAACGAAACAGCTTGAATTCTTACACAGGGAGTATATGGAATGAGCCTACAAAATAATGACCAACTTTAAATCGGTTTTTCTCGAAACACAAAAAAATGCGATACGTCGGTTCGTGTTGCAACCGACGATATTACGTACACATTTTTGAGAATATGGAAGTCCAAAATGTTGGCGTATGTACATGTACCTGTACCAGTATACTTTGTACCTTGAGGCTTAACTTTTTTTATATGGGTTCAGCTGCTTTAATCTATTCAAACAACTGTGGCAAGTTAAGTCTAGGTGTGAAATGGACAAATGTAAAGTGCTAGCCTTAAATTTGGTACAGAATTCCACTAAGTCGCAGCATTTTAAGGATGGACATGCATGTGTAGTTGAGTCCATCACAAGTCAGTCACAAGAAACAGTGACAGCAACAAAGGTTTATGCCTTTATAAAAGTTCTGTTGTAAAGCTTGTGATTTGAATGTGGAGGGCTTGTCATGGACTGGACTGCATCCCTGCAGTGCAGAATTTTTCAACTGTGGGGCATGGAGTATGATCACGTCCCACAGGACCAATAGGTCAGCTTGTTTACACCATGTTTATACACTGTTGATCTTAGACAACAGAGCTGTGCCACTCAAAAACGGCTCAGGGCAAGGACAGATAAGTAAAACATGTTGGTGGGAAACCTATGTGTGTGCCATCTGATGTGGGTGGTTTGCAAATGTTGATGTTAGGCCTATCCCTAATTTTTGTTTGTAACCTGTACCACTTCATACCTGGTACCACATGCTGAATAGTGTTCAAAGACTTTAGTCAGGCATGCAACTGGGAATTTAGAAGAAAAAAAAGGGGGAAATCAAATTCCAAAGGACACAAGACTTTGTACAAACAGTGTTTTCAAGTTGTAATGGCAGTCGTGAGAATTAAAAAACGAGAAATCAGGCGATACAAGGAAAAGTTGCATGCCTGTTTAGTGAACTTATTAAAGAAATTAGAAATATAAACGTACTTGTTTTGGAGAAAATGAAGTGTACCCTTCTTCATTCTTCAACTAGTTTGCTTAAATTTTTCTTGGTTAATTTTTACTAAATTCTACCCGTCATGCTTTGTTTTATAGGTCACTTCCCAATGCCTATGAGCATGATGAGGGTCAAATCTAGCGAATCAGCCTTAAGTTTTAGCCACCCTCTTTAACTTCATGAACTTTGTGTACATTTAACGTCGAAATACATTTAACATGTTTAATGTCAAAATGCCATTTCCAAGTTGGTTCATGTTTAATTCTTGATGGAAACTTGCCAATCCCCCTCCCCCCCCAAAAAAAAAAATGCTGTAGAAGGTGACCACTGTGTGGCTGGAATCACAACTAGCTCGATTTTTCAGGACAAACTTGTGACCCCCGAAATTCGTTTTTTGCATGGTTCTCGCAAGAATAACACATAAACGCTCAGTTATTAACACTGGTTGTGTGCACGTATATAAATTACATACTTTTAAATGCTCTTTCCATTGAATAACATCATGACCGTCTTGTTTAAAGCGTGTTTTGTAGCCCATTTGGGTGTATTCCAGGCCGTAATACCCCTTTATGATATTACCATAGAGGAATAAAAAATATGAGATTTAACAAAGCAAACAATCAGTTCAATTGCTTCTACATAATGAACAGAAAGAACCATACAGATATTAAACAACAGACCAAGACTGAAAACTGACATGACTGAACTGTCTGTTTTACTGTTTTACTTACTCTGCTTGTGCAACTGCCAGCATGTGCAGGACTGCACAGAAGAACACCAACATGAACATCTTGAGTGTTCTTTGGTTTTGGTCTTGCTTTTCTCTCTTGGAATCCCAGTTGATGATCAGTGAACACTGCTGAACTTTCTAAAAAAAGCACCAGAATTTAATAATACACCGAGGTTCCTGCACCACCCTCTGAGTGGTCTGAAGAAAGTACTGTCCTTGCTATACTGTACTGGTGTCCTTTCTCTATGGTCCAAGCCAGTAAATCTCTTAGAGTAAGTAACAAAGGCTGAACATCAGACACTGCACTCTGTAAAGCCAGTGCACTATTAATCTTCTGTCAGTCTATTTCACGCAGCATTAAGTCCAAGGATGAATCCTGGTTTTATGTGCTTTGGCAATTCGCTCAGAGGGGGGCATTATTTATACCACTTGGGCACTGGGTCAAATTTCACTGACATCACCAGCCTTTTGGGGGATAAGTCTGGGAAAACAGGAAGTGGACTAATGCTATCTTTCTAATAGGGGTGATCTTATTTATTGTGGCAATGATCATGCAGAAATGAATCCTGTTTCTGTGGTGAGTTTGATGATGTGCCAAGAGTAATAATGTTAAATAAACTCTGATACTAAAAACATGATATTTTACAAGGACAAAACTGTGGTAACACAGAGACCTGTACTCGTACCTCAATCTGTTCAAGTTGACTCACCCAAAGTAGCAAATGGCCGCACCTGTGAAGTCACTTTGATGACGTCTAGCCTGAAGCCTTCTCAAGTAATCTTGAAGTTCTTGACATTAGGAGAAGCCTTGAAACTTCAGTGGTTGACTAATGGTTGCCTTGGTTTTTCCTTTATTTACTGATATGACATCATATCTATTTTTAAACTAGTTGAGTTGCATGTGCCATGGAATCTCCCGGCAGTTTGATGGCAGATCCAGTGTGTTTATTTTAGCCATGTTTCAAATGAAATGAAATGGATCTGATGAAAACATCACTTTTTTATTTCATTTGTGCACTTTTTTTATTGGAAAATTTAATGAATACATTGTTTTCTTTCTCTCCAATCAAAATTTACAAAAACAAAATGTATGTGAAGTTTCTGACAAAAAGGAGACTTTGCCCTTTTATTGTAAAATGTTTCCTATTTTTTTTCCCTTGGCCGTTAATTCTTTCTTCACTGTTGGAATAAGTTAAACCAAACTTTAAGATGCCCCCAAAATTGCTGTTTGTGACACAATATCTAGCCAACTTAGGTCAAACGGGCAAAGAGTCCAGTAAAATAAAATTTAACATGTATGGACAACTGTATATCATGGGATATCATGAATACAAGAGCATGAGTTTGCAGGTTCAATATACCAGTACCATAGATTCTGTTCCTTGCCAGGCATGCTCTATGCTCTATGCAGGTTCAATACAGCAATATTTTCAAAGATATATACATGTATATATATACATGTATATAAATATAACAAAAGCATTGTACACACACTGCACAGTGCACAAGACATCCATTTCAAGAGAAAACCATAAAACAGTTTATTCATATTATAACTAATTGGCAACATTTCTCCTGGGTCACAATACCTTAAATGAGGCACTCTTTATACAGTGTAATTTTTCTATTAAAAACCATTCTCCGACTACTCAGGCCAACCTTGTTAGTTGTGACAAGTTACAACACACAACAGTCAGCGACTGGGTTTTCAGTATCAAGCTGCGCCTGAGCTACATACCAGCTGCCCATTTTCTGCAACCTGCGATGATATTAAGATGATTGGCATCAGTTGGCGCTTACAAAAACAAAAAACAAAAAACCAAGTAGTTGCAGTAGTAGAACAATTTGAACTTCTGCGATGCAACATAATGCTTTCATCCCATTGTATTGAATTGTATTGTATTCGTAATGTATTGTATTTGTTTATATATACATGTTTGTAGTCATTTTTTATTGTATGCAGGGCCTCAATGGAAACAAGTTTTAAACTGTTTGGGCATACCCTGGGTAAAGAAATGTAATAAATAAACACATTCCTGGGAATCAATTGCAGTCGACCTGTGTGAAGTTACAACGTCATGCGCGCATCGGGATCATCTATTTCACTATGAATTGTCGTCGCGTTGTGGGTGACATGAACATGGTTGCGATTATTCTGTGCCAAGATGCCACTTGCTCCACAGTAACCAAATGAGTTCTGAGTTGTGTGACCTGACTTTTGTGCTTGATGCCGATGGTTCCGTCGCGGCGCAAGTAAATCGCAGGTCGACCTGAGGCCGGCTTTAGATGTACACATGGCTCTATCTGCTAACCCCGGAACTCCGATCGTGCTTACAATCACCACAACTTGAAGGTGCTTATACTTTAAGCCATCATTCTGTGCCATCCTTGTTACCACAGAATTCTTAGTTACTTACGGGATGTTTTTATGCATACAACCAATTTTTCTTGCTAACCCATAAAATACGATAACATTCAGAATGTTCTGCTACCGGTACATTTACATGAAAGCATAGTGGGCGACTTTTTGATAACAGTAGTATAGGCCATGATTTAGGGCCCAATATTTAGTATTAATTGAATGCATTAGATTACCGGACTAAATAAACATTAGTGGTGGATTAGTGTACACACTTCCTTCACAAGAAGGAACATTTTTAGTTTTTACTGAACAGCAGAAAATGTCACCTACATTGTCTTTCCATACAATTTTGCCCAACCGGTTTTAATACGCAGGGAGATATGTAAGTACATGTACATGTCGGGGTGATGTAAATCAAATTAGGTTTAGCCCTTCACTGACGTATAAACACTGCATACTCAGTGTGTTACCTCCCGAGTGAAAGTTTGAAAATATCACTCGGGTGGGACTCGAACCCACGACCTCCTGCTTTCTAGTGCAGATGTCTTAACACTGGACCACCGAGCTAATGGGATTAATTAGATTTTGTAGAATAAGGCTTCCATTTTTCCAAATGCTTATTACCCCCCCCACCCCTAATTTGATTTACTTTCAGCTCATTGTTGAAAGACATTTTTTTCCAAAAGTCCACGCGATATTTAAAAAAAAAAGGGCTTAATAGGGCAAGACTAAGAGGCATTTTTGAGTAGAAATTAAACCTAGCTATTTTACCTAATTCGGGGGTGCTGACTCCGATGGATACCAAGCTGGATTGTTCAAGGAAAAATGCCTAATTTGCATAAATCTTTAATACCTGTCATGTAATATATTTGTTCCCATTTTTGGGTATATTTTTTTATTACCTCAGTCGTCGAACGATTAAGGTACTGTATTTCAGTCGTTTCTTTCTTCTTCTTCTTCTTTCCAATTATCAGGTGACCAAAAGCAGTCACATGATCAAATTTATCAAACTTTTGAAATTGCAATAACTCAAACTATTCAGCCGATTTCAAACAAACTAATCAAATGAAATCTGGACACGTGCCCTACCTAGCCACGTTCATAAAATCTGGCCAATGGTCATCTGATGGTCACTAGTGGTCATTTAATGAAAATCTACAAAATGCTTCTTCTCCCACAGTTTTGACCGAATTAATGTAAAACTTGGTCAGTTACATCGTTGGACCTGCCTCATAAAGGGTGTTCACAGAATTTAGCCAGTGGTCACCTAACGGGCAGTAAGGGTCATTTTATGAAAAAGTACAAAATGCTGTTTTACAATTTAAATCTTTGCAGTCCTGTTAAGTGTATGGACGAGGTTGCAAGTCTCCTAGAGATGACAACATCGGCTTCTGCAACAAGATGATGGCAAATGAGACCTACATGTACCCCCACTTTGTTTATGGCACCAGAACAAAGGAAATCTTTAATGCAGACAAAGTGCTGAGTGTTCTAGACTGGGAGTCCGATTTCTCACAGACGAGTGTCAAGGGCAAACCCTACTCTGCCCAAGATTCATGCTTCATTAGTGTCCTGGAGGCCGGTGTACAGAAGCGATCAGACGGTCATTATGAATATGAGATGCCACTGCCATTAAAGTGTGATAACATCACCTTGCCACGTAACAGAGATCTTGCCTTGAAGTGATGGAACCAGCTCAAGGCACAGTTCAAGAAAACCCCAAGTTCCTGGCAGATTACCAAGATTTCATGGACGAAGTTATAACGGACTGTGCCAAGAGAGTTCCACCTGGGCGTCTTCATGTTGAAGATGGCCAGGTGAACTATGTTCCACATACGGGTGTGTACCACCCCAAGAAACCAGGCAAGATTCGTGTGGTCTTTGACTTTTCAGCACAGTATGCAGGCGTTGCTCTCAATGATCACCTGCTGCAAGGTCCCGATATGATTAATGGGCTGCTTGGAGTTCTTTGCAGATTTTGTGAGGAAGAAGTAGCCTTCATGACTGACATCAAGGGAATGTTCCACCAGTTTCATGTGTCAGAAGAGAACCGAGATCTCCCCAGGTTTCTTTGGTGGGAAAATAGCGACCTGCTGATGCTGCCAGCTCACCTGGATGTGCCATCTTCGGACTCAGGCGAGCTGCCGATGATGGAGAAGATGAGTTTGGATCACCTGCAGCAAACTTCATCAGGAGAGACTTTTATGTCGATGATGGTTTGAAGTCGGTTTCAACAGTCGATGAAGCAGTTGGTCTGAATAAAGCTAGTCAAGGTATTTGTGCAAGAGCAGGCCTGAAGTTGCATGAGGTGATGTCGAACAAAAAGGCTGTGATAGAGGCTATTCCTCCCGATGATAGAGCCAAAGGTTTGAAGGAACTCGACCTCAAGATTTACCCCCTGCCAATAGAGAGAGCCCTTGGGGTCACATGGTGTATTGAAAGTGACACCTTTCAGTTTCGGATTGAGCTTCGAGACCGCCCCTTCACAAGGCGAGGTGTCTACAGTAAGCTCTATATATGATCCAAATGGTCACATAAAAGATGGAAATGAAACAAGTGATAATGGTCATGATCAAAATGATAACATTAAAACACATCAGCACCTTTGTACTCCTTTTTGCATCCAGTTGATTTCGCTCAATATGTTGCCGACAAGCATGATACAACAAGAAGGCAGTAAACCCGAGGAAGTCCTAAAAATGGAAGCAAAGTGTTTTCCTGCTGAATTCCCAGATGGTTTTAAATACATATATGCTGTTGACACAGACCCCAAAGTTTCACCATCCCGATACTTCAACTCTGGCCTACATGTACATGTATTCTCAGCAGACAACCGATTTGCAAGAAAACCCGAGTACATATTCTTTGCTCTGTACACTACAGAAGTACACCAGATCCATTCAAACATATCTTTTGCTCTTCGCATTGGTTCTACACACACTGCAGATGGCAAAGAAATCACATTTAAGAAGTAATGATGAAGTCAAACAACTGATCAAAAGAGATGAAGGATAAATAGATTCTTGACTCAAATAAGAGGCACACCTGCCTATTGGGAAAAGTCAAAGAGAGATCTATTTGCCATGATTCGACCAGTCTAGTGGTTGCGAATGTTTCAAAAAAGAGTACACACTTTTATTAATGATGTGATTCTATCCAAAGCCAATCCAATCGGCAAAGTTGAGGACCACTATTACAGGACAGAGTTTTAACAAAGAGGCTGGTCTCATATCCACATGGTTGTTTGGGTTAAAGATGCCCCAAAGTTCAATGAAGATCCTGACGATGAGGTCATAGAATTTGTTGATAAGTGTTCTTGTGAAACTCCACCTGAAGAAGACACAGAATTGCATGAGATAGTGACAAGTGTACAAGTTCACAGCAAGAACCACACAAAGTCATGTCGGAAAACTGGACAGGTCTGTCGATACCACTTCCCCAGGCCACCAAGTAACAGAACATTCATCTGCTCACCGAAACAAGATGTAGATCTATGCAGAACTGCATAAAGACCATAACAACTCCAAAACTGTCCTTCAACAAAGAATGGAAGAAGAGGCAAAGGCAAAAGAGACAATGAAAACAATTTGGGAACTACTTCAAAATGACGAGATAAGTCTGACAGACTTTGATCAAGTTCTAGAACAAGCCAAAACTACTCAATCCAAATTTGAAGAATCAGTACAACTTCTATTAAAAAGGGAGACAATGTATCTCAGACGCCATGTCACTGACCAATGGATCAACAATTACAATCCACATCTGATCCGATGCTGGAATGGTAACATGGACATTCAATATGTGCTACATGTAGATCCTTATGCATGTGTCATGTACATTGTATCCTACATTACTAAAGCAGAGAGAGAAATGGGCGACTTGTTGAGAAATGCACAAAGAGAAGCAACTGAGGGAAATATGGATGCTGTACAACAGTTGAGAAAACCTGGAAGTCTCTACCTGCAAAACAGAGAAATACATGTAAGCGTCATGAGAGCTATTTACCTAACATGTAGCATGCCTTTGAAAAAAGCACACGGAATATCATCTTCTTGCAAACTGATTTAAATTGGCAAAAGCTATCATTGCCTCTACAGGTGCTCAAAGCTCATGCAGGAAAGTCCGACCAAGTTTTGTACACAACACAAATTGAGAAATATCTTGCAAGACCACACACAACGAAATACGAGACCATGTGCATACCAACATTTTTCTCAACTCACTATCAGGTGTCAAACAAATCCAACAGCACAGGTTTACATGAATCAGATGAGGAATCAGGTGAAACGGATGAAGATTTAGATTCAGAACCACAACAACAGTCAGATAAACCCACTGCCAAAATCCACTATGTCACAACAGACGATCAGAAAAGTACACACAGCAAAGCCAATCTGCCAATTCACCTGCAACATAACCTTGGACAAATGAAAGAAAGAAAACAAAAGCCAGCAGTCATCCCATACCCAAGAGTAGCAGTGAAGAAAGACAGCGAAAAATATCATATGAATATGTTACGCTATATTTACCCCATTGGATCGAAAATATCAAACCTGAGGAATATGCCACCTATGAAAGTTACCATCTTACAGGCTGCACAATCATCAATCAGAAGAGAGTACCAGTCAGACAAATAGTTCAACAAAACATGAAGTACCTTGAACCAGCAAATGATGAATTTGACAATGCGTGGGAAGCACGAAAAGAAGCAGCAGACATTCAAGATGTTTGGGCAGCTATAGCTCCACAAAACGAGCAGCAATGTCTCGACGACAAGTTACAGGATGTTAGATGTGATGATTCAGATGATGATTTCACTTTCATAGAAATACCAGGCCTTCAGCCATCAGTGACACCTCAACCTTCGTGCCACATTGAAACATGTACTCCAGACATCACTGAGGAACAAGCATACTCAATGATGAGACAGCTGAATGACAAGCAACGTCAACTATTCAACCATGTTAGCAATTGGTGCAACAAAAAAGCTAAAGATATCACCTTACTACCATTTCACATATTTCTTACTGGTGGAGCTGGAACTGGCAAGTCACATGTCATTAAATGTATCAAATACTATGCCCAAAAAGAATTTTCACCAATGACAGAATCTGCTGATGATGTAACAGTGTTGTTGGTTGCCCATAGAGGAACGGCTGCATTCAATATATTGGGGGAAACAATATGTTCCATTTTTAAGATTGGCATTAAACTATCGAAAGATTACAAGCCCCTTGGTGAAAAGTCGTTAAACACACTACGAACAAAGTTTCAACATCTTCAACTTGTCATCATTGATGAAATCTCCATGGTGAGCTCAACGATGCTACAATGTGGACGACTACAGCAACTCAAAGGAACTTCTAACACAACATATTTTGGCAATATTTCCATCTTAGCTGTAGGAGATTTCCACCAGCTACCACCAATCAGTCCACCCACACCACTGTGCTTTACAGATCCTGAAATATTGAAAGATTTATGGAACTGTCCGTAACCTGAAAATCAAAGAGGAAGGCAAAACAATGCAGCTGGTATTGTGGAATGCAAAGAGCACATTACCAGTGAAGCTGGGAGACAAAATCAGATGCACTCACGTCAAATGCCAGCACAACACTCACCTCCATGACCTTTCTTTGTCAT